AAGGCTTCGAAAGCAAACACCAAATTGCATTACTAACTCAATTGACTCTTCAAAGAGATGATACAATTGTTAGAATGCATTATTATAGTTATCATTATGTCCAAATATATGTTAGACATATATTGTAATTATTGTAAAGTGATTGAACCTATCATCCCCAAGATTCCCTTAGAAGAACTCTGGCCGGACATAACAATTGGTAACAAGAGCTACACCACACACTATGCTTGCCACCATCAATTGAGATTAATTGTTCAGTTACAACCACATAGCATTAAGACATTACACCAATCTTGTTTCAGAGTCAAATGAGGAGGCTGCTACTTTGCCATAAAATTGAATGAAGAGAGGCAAAGCTAAAGTGAAGATATTGAAAGTTACATAAATAAAGGAGATTTAAATGATGCAAAAGCTAAATATAAATAAAAAACACAAATCCAAACACTTCTCAGAGTTGCCTCTCTCTTTCACTAATATAAATGCATAAAATATGGAAATGGAATATAAAAATATGCATATTTAATTAGCCCCAAAACGCATTAGAACAAGTGGTCCAGATTAAAACTAATCTGATGCTATTATGCTAATATTAGTACAACATCGTAGTAGTAAACTTGGACCTTATAAATAGAATATTAAAGGAATCTCAAAAGTATGCATTCACCTAACTTTTTTATAAAAATTTACAATGAGATTTTTTTAAATAATTTTATTAATCAAATTCTATAATCTTATAAATAATGATCTTCACTTGATAATGTTTAACACAATATTAATATTTTATTCATTTCTATAAATAATTAATTATATATTCTAAAATTCTAGAGTAATATGCAAGAAACAAGATTTTTTATTTTTTTAATTCAAGTTTGTATTTTCCAATATTTGAATAGAAAAATGGTGTTGTGCAATGATTTTCTTAAGAAAATGAAAATTTATTTATAATTTAATTATTTTTATAAAATTATAATTATAATTAAAACTATTTTTCATAAATATATTTTTAAATAACTTAAACTTGAATAATTATATAATTACATCAATTTTTATATAAAAGGAAATATTGAGGATCATAATCAATTATTGGTTTTTATTATTAGATTTTTTGGTGTTATTTATAATATTTTTAAAAATACAGTTTATTTATGACTTTATATTTATCTAGAATATTCTGGATATGCTGGCATATTCTACTATCTAACAGTGGTTGTTCATTTAAACTAACCTTATGTTTAATATAATTTATAACTATGTTTATAATTTATTAAAACCTCCCTCCAAATATATTCTATATAAAGTTTGTATAGTAAGGTTTTGTTTTAGGTTTCCTTAATTAGTAGTGGATTTACCTAGAATATGTTTTGATACTCTAGCATATTCTACCATTCAGCACTACTATAATTAGTGTATATCCTAGGTAGGATGATACATATTTTACCCACACACACACACACACAGATATATATATATATATATACATATACATATAGATATATATATATACATATACATATATATATATACATATATATATATATATATATATATGTATGTATATGTATATGTTAATAATAGAGTAATTAATCACTAGGTTTTAGCTAATAAGACCAAATGGGATTAACACATGAGTAATGCCTTTGAACTAAAGCAAGGGTTTCCAAAACCACTACCATCCACAAAACACTATTGCATCAAATGATACATCTTATCTCTAAGTCTTCCTACTAGTCATCCTCTAAGACCACAGTTAACATGAACTCACTACCATCAAGTAGTGTTTTCACATTGCCACTAGAAATATGGTTATAGGTGAAGAGTGATAAGAAGTTTGGCATCAAGTCACTCCAAGGCATTTGTGATGATATCTTTGTTGAAAATTTACAAGTCAAAGGGCATAAGAAGATGTTCCTACCTTATACTTTTATTATGGCTAGACCAAACGATTTTTTTTTGACAAACCAAGTCAATATAAAGAGGCTAGTATTAGTACTAGCCTTTGCTAGTTTTGTGGAGTTCATACCACATGTTATGTCAAGCTTGTTAAGAGCTTTTTGCCTTACAATCTGTCAATCAAACTTTTAAGTTTATGGCCCACAATCAAAGGTACCAAAGGTAAGTTTTTCTTTTGCTCCAAATGCTGTTTCTTATGTTTTATAGTTTGGATAACGATGAGATCTTTTTCCATTTTTACCTATAAAAAACTAAGAGTTACTAAAGTAGGATTGAGGAGCAGAAAATCTTGGTAACTTGCCATCAAAAACTGATGGAGAACCTAAAGAATCTATGCCTTTATATTTCTTAAATATTGGAACTTTGAAGCACAGCTAAGCTCTTGACCTGGCACTAAATAACAAAGACTTACCTAGACTATAGTATACCTTCTTGAGATTATTTACCACCTAATCACCTTGAGCTACTTTAAAAACTCCACTATATTATAAGCCTTTAAGGTAGGTTATACCTTAAAATACTCTTAAACTAACCTTTCACCCATGGCCAAAACATGCCTCTCCCCCTCTCCCCCTTGCCCCCCCCCACCCCCAAATCTAGAGCAGCTACTAAACTATAAATCAATTCGTAATCCCAACTAAGATGACTTCTAAATATAGCAAATTAAGGATTTAATTTTGTTCCACTATACTTACTGTTATAAGCACTAAAAAAAGATTAGATCCCACTTTTAGCTAATATAGTGTAATATATTCTTCACTACTCAGTATACCCATTTATTTAGAAATGATTTCCACTCAAGAGCTTTAAAGTCATTTGCATAACCTTCATAAAGCATTAGTCTTGACATGTAAACCAAAATTAAAATCCTTGTTAAAGGTTTTGGGATACTTGAGGTTAAATGTCTTTAGGTTTGAATAGTATTGGGTTGGAAAGTCCAAATTCAGAAGCTTACATTTGGCATTAAAGGCGTCTTGGGTTTGGTTAACAGATTTAATTTGCCTTTAGTTGGGCTCAACCTGAGGGGTAGGTGTAAGTGACTAAATTTTCCATTCTACTTTAGTTACTTAACTACACTTTTTGACAATTTAGAAGAGTCTTACTCACAACCTCTATAAGTTATATTCCTAACTTAGGGATATACCAGCCTCGTGAATGGCATTTATGCCATTTAGCCTTTGCACTTAGTCTAAGTGCTCCACACATCTGATCCCATGACAAACACCTCAAAAGTATTATTGACATCTTAGCCTATTACACTAATGCCATTATTAATACTCCAAGACCACACATGCCAAAGCTATCTATTTATGAGTGGTTATCCTAGGACCACACCTTAGCATCCTTAAGATAACTGAAGACAAAAGGAACACCCTTCCCCAATGTCCCTTCTTCAATCCTCAGTAAGTCTTTCTTTATCTACAGCCGTACTCACCAACACTACCATTGGGCCTAACCACTAAATCTTACTGATATCTAGAACTTCCTTACCACTATACAAGGAAATTGCTCCTCTTTCTTTCTATAGTTTATGACTTTAGGATGATAATTCAAAATACTGTAGCCTTACGCAAACCTCGTGGGTACTCACCCCACTTTCCACCGTTAAGTGCCTTAGCCATATGGCTAGAGCGAGGTTCCGATGAGCTACACCAAGTATTCAAGTAGGTAGTACCACCTATACTTGGATTGAAAACATCAACCATTCTATCTCTCGGGAAAGCTAGAGTTGACTCTTGAACACTTTACCAAATAACCCCACTTACCCATCTATGTTCACTTTAACTTTAGACTCTTCAGTAATTATATCATTACCCACCATATGAGTATAACCTTCCTTGGTCACACTGGTCTTTCCTGGCCAAACTGGTTCCACTTGAGTCCTCCCTCTACTATCCTTTTGGAGTTCACTAAACCCTCTAGGGTCTAGGAGACAATTGCTTTGGGCTTTCACCCTCAAACACAAACTTGGACTTAGAGATTCAATTTTGGTTTTGGTTTTGGTTTCAGTCTCGATCTTGGTCTTAGTCTCGGTCCTAGTCTTGATCCCCATCTCGAACTACTTCTCAGACTCCCTTTTAGACTCCATCTCAAACTTCTTCTCAAACTCAATCCTGACACTCCCATGTGTCATAAGACTTGCTATGTGTCTATCTTTCTTATGTCACTTTTTAGAGACTCATTCACCAATTACTTTGTGCTCATTCTTTAAGCACTTTGTTCGGAGTTTCACTCCCACTCTCAACTTTCTGAGTTAGAGTTTTTGGTCTAAACATGTTACATTTGTTGGACTTCCACTTTAACCACTAGTATATAGCATTTACTTTAGGGATTAATGATTTGTGTTTTATAATAGAGTGTTAAGAGAGTGGGGTTCTTAGAAGAGTTGCGGCTCTTAAGTTTCATTCACAAGGGCATAAATTTATAGAAAAATGTGATGGCTTATAAGCAACTAAAGAGAATTGACTTAAGGAATAATTTATAAAAGTTCAAATATAGAGGGAAAGGGTCTGTAAAAAAAGTACACCTCTTTTTTCAATCAATTAAAGATCTTAGGATACTTAAATTTAAATGTCTTTAGTTTGAATAATATTAGGTTGGGTGACTTCTTAGGAAGTTTAAATTCAAGAGATTATAATAGCTTCTTTTGTGACACTTAAAAAAATCTTGCATAACTTAACTTTTATATTCCTTTAATAAAAATTATACCATGTTGACTATGCAGTCAAAGCTGACAACTCTCCTCATTCTATGTGATAGGCTCCCACTGCAGAGCAGGAGTGTTACTTAGCAGCTCAAAGCCAACTCTTTATAATACTCTTTGTAATGTTCCAAGTGACCTTGTCTATTACTGGTTGGGGTTCTAAATCCTATTACAACATGGCTACACTCCAATGAATCATCAAATTGGAACATGAGGAAGGAATCAGTCTCAAACGGTACTAGACTTGCAAACGACCAAGCAACTAGACAGTGTGGCCAGGTCTAGAAAGCTGCAATAGACTCCATCGTCTTATTTGAGCGCTTCATACCTTATATCACTAAAAGGTATAACTATGGTCAATAAAAGTCGTGGCCAGGGTGGTTTTAACGTGATGATCATGACCCACGACCCTCCATATATAATGCTTGTCCTAAACTACAATCTTTCCTCTACCAGCCATCAAAAAATCACTACTGCTTGTTCTTCATCTCCATCGCTATGACAACGAGATCCTTCGTGAGCCTGGTGGCAGCGCTCCTGTGTGTGATCCACCTCGTCACTGCTGCTAATCCTCGATGGAACCAGCACTTCAAGGTGATCTGGGGAAAGCACCACGTCCGAGAGACCAACAACGGCCAGTCGATGCAAATGGTCCTCGACAAATCATCTGGTAAGCAAACTCACGATCAAATCCATCAATTTTATCTGTGCGTGTCTGCTAGGATCGGCTTTCCAATCGTATGAAAGGTACAAGTTTGGCTACCTGAGTGTACGCATGAAGCTCGTCCCCAACAATTCAGCCGGAGTGGTCACCACCTTGTATCTCTCGTCGACATCTTCCAACCACGACGAATTGGACTTTGAGTTCCTGGGAAACAAGTCCGGCCAGCCATACATCCTCCACACCAACATCTTCGTCAACGGTGTCGGATCACGAGAGACGCGCTACTCCCTCTGGTTTGATCCTGCCAAAGACTTCCACACCTATGCCTTCCTCTGGAACCGGCACCAGATCGTGTAAGTAACTCTGGCCTCACAACCACCAAGCCCATGAAAAACTTTGATCTATTCTCTTTCCTTGTTTCATCCATCTATCAGCTTCTTTGTCGACTCCATTCCTGTTCGAGTTCTACGGAACACTCCGACGACCATCTATCCTTCACAGCCAATGTATGTCTATGGAAGTATTTGGAACGGGGACAACTGGGCGACCCGAGGAGGCCTGGACAAGATCGACTGGAACTCTGCACCCTTCCTGGCCGAGATTGGCAGTTACAACTTGGATTCGTGTCCGTGGAGTGATCCCTTCCCTCTGTGCATTACCACCACTTGGGAGAAGTGGTGGGATCAGCCTGGATCCTGGACACTGAGCCCTTCGCAGCGGAGTTCCTATCTGTGGGTGCAGAAGAACTTCCTCATCTACGACTACTGCACTGATGCCAAACGCTATCCAGTCCCCCCAAAGGAATGCAAGCTCTCGCCTTGGTAAACACACAGCGACTCACTTCCAAGAGGAACTCCTGTCAGTCCGGAAATAACAGTTCGTGTTTGTTTAGAATATAGAGAAAGAAAAGAAACTTACATAATTCGCTGGGATCTTCCTGCGAGCTCCGCCATCACAGCCGGCTGTTGTTTCCTTCGATGCTTGTCAATGGTTTGCATTGTCATAGATCCCACCTTGTCAAAAGCAACCTGAAACAACGTGTCACGCATGTTTGCTCAAGGCAGTCACACTGTAAGAGATCGAAATTTACCTTAAACAGCACATCCGGATCAAACGACCGTCTTGCAAAGTCTTGCACAACCTTGACCAATTCATCTGCATGTTTCATGGGCAGAAGTTCTTCTTCCTTCATCTGTAAGAATTCATGATACACATTAATGCTCGTGACAGACAAAAAACAAAAACGAGATAAAATTTCAGACCTTTAAGATGCCCAAAGCAAATCTGAATAGCACTTTTGCTCCCTCATTGAAGAGAACGTCCCAAATTCTCATTGTTGTCTGAAAGAGAAGCTGTAACCACAAGCACAGACCAAAGCAAACACGGAGTGTTACCTCCGATGGTAGTGTTTTCGCAAAAAGGCACAGAAACCATTCGGTTGTTAGCAGCGACACATCAAAATCCATCGCCTCAAAATGAAGCGCCAGCCTAGAAACAGAAGAACAACTTAAGCACTTCCTTAACATAAAAAAAACCCAACCTCGTGCATTTCTTTCTCAAGAGCTCTTTGAATACTCGCTGCTCGATGTGGCATCCATATAGATTGTCCGAGTAAGTGTCCGAAAGCAAGACGTTCTCCAGCAGCACAGCCAGCATCCAGAACGCGTCCTCTTCGGTTTTCATGACCACGAGCAGTAATCCTGCCACAAAATTCATTCCCTGGATGGACGCGTGCCTGAGCAACACAGAAGAAAAGAACCGAAGCTAGCGATTTACCTGACAGTATCCAACTCGCGAATCACGAAAGGAGTAAGCCACCAACACTCGCCGGAGCGTCTGCTGGCCAGCCGGAGAGCTGAGCCATGGGTGCGTTGGAAACGTTCTATCCAAGTCCTGGATAAGAAAAGAGGAGCTTAACAAAGTCACTGGAAAAATCCCGAGAGAGATCTTACGTGATCGATCTGGCGAGTGGCAGCAGTCGTTTTGTCGCGAACAGCATCGACGAGATCCTTGTAATAGCTGTGTGGAACAGTGGATCTCTTCTTGGCGGCGCCGGAGAGGAAGAGCCAAATCCTGGGGCGGAGCTGCGGGGGGATCCCTTTCCTGATGAGCATTCTCAGCTGTATGGCATTGAATGCCGCGATGAACGAAAGGGATTGCTGCGCCTGGCAATGGAGATACCAGGCGGCGCCCTTGCTCGCTTCCAGCTCCCACCATTGCCGCCCGCGCTCGCGCACTCGATCCTTGACTCGCTCCACCACTGCGGCGTCCTCGGCGCACACATCGACGGTGAAACAATGCAGGTCACGGATTTGGATCATCCTCCTCTTCATCGTCGCTCATTCCATCGACTGACTTATAAACCCTAAACGAAGAACCCTAAAAGCTCAACGGTCTCTTTTTTTCCCCCTTTCTTATACAATCCTTTCATCACTGGCTCGCTCGATTGCTCGTGAGCGCGCCGCCGATTGTGACATAGATTCTCTCGCGCGGACTTCCACTTCCTCCTGCGCCATCGATTGGTTACGAAAGGATCTTCTTGGAATTGGAAATCCTCTACCTGGAATTGCCGGATCTCCTTTTGCTGCTGTGCTTGCTGGCGCCCTAGCTGGCTGAGAAGCTCGCCCACAGCGCTGGTCACGCGCTCGTTCACGGCATCCGCGAATGCCTTGCCCAGGAAGAAGGCATTGAGAATCTCGCGGCTCTCCTCCTCCGGCTCCTTGCCTGCGCGAGATATGGGCAAATTCTTCTTACCACCGGCAGCTCGGCAGGAAAATCTTCGCGGTGCGCGCCTCGTTGGCATCCGGCCGCCAGGAATCGGCGGCGAGCAGCCAAGGAAGCTCGCCAGAGCCGCCATAGCCACCACTGGTCGCCAAAAAATAGGGCTCCGAATGGATTAGGGAGGAGGAAGTGATGGCGATGGCGGCATTGGGATCGTGTCCGGCTCCACAGCAGCTACGATGGAGCAAGAAGAATCATCGTCGTCCAAGTAAGGCTCGGGTGACAGCAGTGGCAATGGCGGCAGCGGCCAGCAGCACCAAGAGCAAGAGCGATCCGCGATTGCTGCTACGGGACGAAGACGCCAGCGATTCCATGCGCGCGCGCTTCGAAGCGATGATTCTCTCGGCGCAGGAGGAGGTGTGCGACGCGGTGGAGGCCGTGGATGGATCGAAATTTCGCGAGGATGTGTGGACTCGGCCGGGCGGTGGCGGGGGCGTGAGCCGGGTATTGCAGGACGGCAATGTGTGGGAGAAGGCTGGCGTCAATGTATCGGTTGTGTATGGGACGATGCCACCCGAGGCTTACCGAGCCGCCAAAGCCGATACCAGCGTCACCAAGGACAAGGCTGGGAGAATTCCATTCTTCGCTGCTGGAATCAGCTCGGTGAGTGCTCGAGCTCCCGCAATTCTATTTTTCCTTCGATGCTTATGAGATTCATGCCAGGTAATGCATCCCAAGAACCCATTTGCTCCCACGGTTCACTTCAACTATCGCTACTTCGAGACGGACACTCCCAAAGGTTTGATGCAAAGCTTTTCAAGATCGCGTTTCTAGCGAGCCAAGCCTTTTTTTTTTCACTTGGTTCAGATGTGGAAGGTGCTCCTCGCTCTTGGTGGTTTGGAGGAGGAACAGATTTTACTCCGTCGTACATTTTCGACGAAGATGTCAAGCATTTTCACGAGGTGTGTTGGTAGTTTTATTTCTTGTTCGTTCTCTTGCCAACTCTCGTTGTCTGTTTTCAGATTCAAAAGAGAGCGTGTGACAAGTTTGATCCCGAGTACTATCCCAAGTTTAAGAAATGGTGCGATGACTATTTCCTCATCGAGGTTTGCGCTCGGACTCTTCTCTCTTGAAATATAAACACTTGTGTGCTGCTAGCATCGTGGAGAGAGGCGAGGTCTCGGTGGAATTTTCTTTGACGATCTCAGCGACAGGGATCCCGAGCAATTGCTTGGTTTCGCAACAGGTACTCAATAGCAAGCACATTTCGCTAGGACTGCAGCTCATGTTTCGCAGAGTGTGCCAACTCCGTGGTGGATGCTTACATTCCCATTGTCGAAAAGCGCAAAGACACGCCTTTCACTCAAGCCAACAAAGATTGGCAACAGCTGCGCCGGGGAAGATACGTAGAATTCAACCTGGTGAGTCGAGAAAATCGAATCAGCAACACAATACTCTCTTTACAATCGAATCAATACTCTCTTCTCATTTCATTTTCTGTGAAGGTGTATGATCGAGGCACTACTTTTGGGCTCAAGACTGGAGGCCGTATCGAAAGCATTCTCATGTCTCTGCCACTGTCCGCTCGCTGGGAGTACGATCACGTAAGATTTATTATAATCAGTCGCTTTTTTTTTAACTTATATGCTATGGAACTTTTGTGTTTGCTTATAGCAACCTGTTCAAGGGAGCGAAGAGTGGAATTTGCTCGACGCATGCAAGAACCCGAGAGAATGGCTGTAATATATCCGAAGATCAAATCACAAAAAAAGGCGAGTTCGCTTTGATCTTCTTTTTTTTTTCTCGGGAATGTACTCACTTTTCCAAGTCACGTACCGATCTCTATAAGTTGATTATTTACACAGCCAAATCGAGGAGCTACCATCCGCCTCCGCCACCCGAGCTCCCCCCCCATCCATCATCAGTTTGTTGCTGTTGCTGCTGTTGCCCCCATCCATTGTCATGGTGTTGTGGCTGTTGTTGTTGAGCTCCCCAGTTACCACCCTTCGACCAGGATGACCAGTGATCTGGAAACCAAGACGAGAAAGCTGAGAACAAACGAGCAGCTACACTATATCTTAAAACTTACCTCCGCCAGCAGGAACAGCAGCAGCGGCAGCAGCTCCTTTATCTCGATCGCGATCCCATCCGCCTCGTCTATCTTGATCCCATCCACCGCCGCTTCTTCCATAGCCACCACCACCACCACCACCACCTTGAGAGTTGTCCCATCCCCCTCTCGAAGAGCCACCACCTCTGTTGTCTGTCCAGCCTCTGCTGCCAGCTTTTCTGGGGTCGCCAGACGGTACCATAGCAGCGGCAGCACGCCGTGGAGGAGCCTCGGGCACGGGATCATTGATGTGCTTCTGGAAGTATGCCACCAGCTTGTCTGGAGTGTCCAAGTATCTGTGCCTGAACCGGAAGCCTTTGGGAGAAACGCTGACATACTCGTGGTGGACGTTGATGCTCTTGAGGTAGGACAGAGTGAAGACTCCTGGGTGCTCGTAGCACACCGAGAAGTAGTATGGTATGCGAGCCGGGTTTGCTTCCTTCTCAGCTCGCAAGATGTTGTCTACTTCCTCCTTCGTCCCCTGCTTAAACTTCCGATAGCGAAACATTTCTCGCCAGTGGCCAACCAGAGGATCGACATAGCGAGCAATAACCTGCATGCAGTAAGAGCTAGTTTTTAGCATCAACAAAGGGAAACAAACACCACGACGCACCTCGTCCAGGTCTTCAAACGTATCTTCTCCGATCTTGAGCGTTTTCCCAAGGCGGAGGAGACTTGTCATGCTGCTCACGTCCTTACCACCTTCAACTATCTCTATGTGAGTGAACACATTAGGATAGAACTTCAGCGTCATTGACAAGTGAGACGGTCCTTTGCTACTGGGGCGAATGATCCCGTCGCCAATCTCTTTGTCAGCCAGTGACTGCAAAAGCACACAAAAAAGAAAAGGTTAGCGACTTGGATCCAATTAGCAAACTGTTTGAAATGCGCACCTGCGTGGCCTCTAGCAGCGATATATTTCGAAACTGGGGATGGACAATCATCCGGGCCTTAAATGTCTTGTGCTTCTGTTCCTCGACTTTCTTCCTTGCTTTCTCTTCTTCATCCTGGAAGAAAGTCGGGTTCACCTGATAGTAGCGATCTCTTGGCCGCCCCGGTATCCAGTGATCTCCTCTTAAATCACTTCCCTTGCTCGTTAAATCCAATAGAAACTTGGCTTTGTGAACCTCTTTGATCCTGCAGGTGAGTATACTACCTTCGGCCACCTTGTCGGCCGGATCAACGTCCCGGTCATCTGACAAGTCCTCCCTCCTGATAAATCCTATCAGCCCCGATTCCAGAACCACCATCACCTTGTTCTGCTGCACTTTCCGCACGGTCGCTTGGATGATTCTCCCTTCACACAAAGTCTCTTCGCTTTCTTGCGAAAGCATATAGAAGACTTCGTCGGGCTCGGGGCTCATGTACTTGACACGCCAGTCCTGGTAGCCATGTTGGAGTTCACGTTTAATATCCATCAGCGTCTCCAGCTTCTTCCCAGAGACCCCCCTCTCTTGAACAACTTTGGCATACTCCTCGATAACCAGGTTCCGTAAAACCCGGGGATGGTCTCGAACATGCTCCACAGCCAGCTCAAGTGCTTCTTCGTCTGCTGTCTCTCCATGTTCTTCGCAGTAAGCATCTTCTGCCATCTTCTTGGCGAGGTCGTACGACTCAGGATGGATTCTCGTGTCCTCCAGAGGATCAAGGGTCCCAGAAGGAACTTGACCAGAGCCCCGGATCCTGATGAAACCAGCGGCATTGATGAAAACGTTCCGCTTCATCAGCTCTAGCGAGGTAAGCATCTCCTTCCGTGAGCTCACCCGCCCGGCACCCTGAATAGCGCGTTTGATGTAAGCGGCCTTCCTTGGTCCAAGACCAGCCACAAACTGCAGCGGTGCGAAAAGCCAATCGTGTGACGCAGCCATATTCACGTCCACCCCAACTTGATTTGTGACCGTCACCATCACCCTCTCCACTGCTTCATACAGCTCGTCAGGAGTGAGAAAGTTTTGAAGAGGATGTAGCTTCAAAGACAAAATCTCCCTGGAAGGGCCACACAAGGATGACACTACTGCCAGCGGGTTCTGGAGATAGCGGCCTAGAGCAACAGCACGCCTCACAATTCCTGAAACAGTACGAGGTACACGAAATTAGAAATCAACATCCGACAAAACGTTTTCTATACAAACCTGGCTGCTGCTGAAGCTGCTCTTCGGACACGCGAGAATACTCGTAAAGCCGAGGAATGGTCTCGTCACCATAAACCAGCGGTATCATATCTATGCCGTCCGCAAGGTCACGCGGATGCTCTTCTACAATCTTAAAAATCACTTGCTGCAAAAGTTCACACTGTTAGTGACGCGGACACACTAAATCTAACCACAATACCTCAAAAATGTCGTCCTTCAGGAAGCGGCAACTCATATTGGCTGCTCCAAGAACCACCACATGTGGCTGGTGCTCCGTCATGAACTGCAATAGACGTTGCTGATCATTTTTCTTTCTTTGCTGCTGCTCATAGCTCCCAGTTCGGACAGTCAAATAACCGGCATGAAGAGTGTCGATTATTTCACCAGCCGAATCGAGCATAACAAAAGCCGTAGCAGGCTTTCCCGGTCCCCAACAGCATGCCAATACACGTGCGCCTTCTTCATCTCGGTCGTCTTGTTCACCTGGCCGTGGATATGGAGCAACAGATATCCATTTCCAAAGCTGATCCGCGCAGTTCGTAGCCACCCACTGTTTAGCTCTGCCCGTCAAAACCACCCTCGTCTCCCTTTCCATAGACGGAAGTAAAAATGTTGAAACCGCATCCCTGAGAATCTGTTTCCGCTGCTCATTCCACAGCTGAGCTGTTATACTGACCCCATCACTTAGATACAACGGCTCAAACTCTTGAAAGAGTGTAGCAGTTGCATCCTTCGGTATCCCAATGCTGACCTCCAAAAGTTTTTCCTCTTCAGCCTTTTGTATCAACAACCACTGTCCATCTTCAAAAGCTTTTACTGGTTTGTTCAGAAGCCATTTAACGTCCGCATATTGATGGAAGGGATCTATAACTCGATTTCCCTCGACCGTGGGCTTTGTGGTCACAACAGCTCTGTCCATGTAAAAGTTCCTTATATATTCACGTGCAGCGGGCTCGGCACTTATCTCCACGGCTGCCTGAAGAAAGTAACACAAGGTGAGACAAGCCGTCGTTATAGACATTCTTACCATGTGCCTTGCTCCACGAAGCACAGATTGAATATCGGAGAATTCTCCTGCTAGACGGGTAGCAGCGATTTCATCGGGCGTGGAAGTAGCATCATCAAACTCGTGTTTCTGCATAATTTGTAAGAGGGTATGTAAAAAGATGGTTTAAGTGATGCAACAACTACCACTTTACCTTGTACATGTTCAGAAGATTGTCTCCAAACAGGTCTGGACTCAAACCGAAAAACTGGGTAACGCTTCCCAGACCATGTTTGCGGCAGACACTGTAGAAGGAACGACGTTTTGGCCGTCGAAACTTCCCTTCCTCGACCTCAACTTCATCGGGTGGACAGTAGAGATTAAACTTTGCGTCGATGTCGTCAACACATTGCTCGGACGGCGCGTCCATAAGAGACTCGAGTATCCTACTAAGAAACTCGGCGTTCTGATCACCAGCACGCTTTACATAAGCATCTTTAAGGGCCGACTTTCGTCGCTGAAGTAGCAACCATTTCTTATCCCAATACTGTACTATCCAAAGCACCTGAAAGAAATAAAAAACATTCACGAGTGTGTTGTGGCCAGAATATAACGTACTTTATAATGCCGAAGAGTTGGTCTTGCTTCGTCCCCATCTGCGTCTATTGACTCTTGTTCCTCATAGATAAGATCTTTGCACATCTCCTTACGATACATCCCTATGAAAGGGACCTATTCTTGAGAGCATTAGGGACGAAAGAATGTGAAAACGAAGAGTAGTTACCTCTACTTCATGAAGCAGCTGTATGACGTTTGCTATTTGCTTGATCACCTCTACCTTGTCGGTATTTACAACATGTTGTAACTCCGGCCTCTGATCAGGAAGAGCAAACTTGCCAAATGCCCGTTCGTAAACCCATTCTGCCTCCCTAGCAATCTCCGCTTGTGGAAGTGGGAGGATAATTTCAGCCATGGGCTGCACGAAAGAAAAAACAATCTAGTGTAAGACAACTGGAAACTTCGAAGAGAATGTTACCTGAAGCCTTTCAGCAATGTCCGTTTCACGAATTCGGTCGTCATTTTCTGTCATGTACTTCTCTTCCAAAACACTCGGCTCAAATTCCTTCGCAAGTCTTCCTCGACCAGCATCATCCTCGTCATGGGCACCTTCTTCTCTTTCTGCTTCGGAAACACGTATGCGCCGGTCCTCCAGCAGTTGCGACACATCACCAAAAATTTCCTGAGCCTCCTGAAGGGCACTTGATGATATTCCTGGTGCTTGCCGGGAATACTTCTTCTTTTTGGGCCTCTTAGTTCTGTACACACGATGTTAAAACCTTGCTAGCACTTCAAAGGCGTAAGCAGACCTCAGAAGCTGACCATTCTCGTCTGTCTCGTCTTCATCAACGATAAAGTCAGCCATTTCGTCCTCTTCGCCAAGGTCATCCTCCCCTTGCTCTTCTTCAGCAACATCTTCAGGAGCGACACCTGACCAAGCACCCCCTAAGTTCACAGGAACATGTGTAAAAGCTCTACCTTCGTCATCACCAAAAAGCGTGTACTTAAGGGCCTCTTCAGCTGTGCGCCCTCGCCTTCCTCCTTCCTCGTCCTCCTCTTCATCAGAAAGGCCGACAGCACCTCCCTCTGTTCTCGCTTTCTTAAGTCTCTTAAACTTTTTATTTTCCTGCCAAAAAGCCTTCATCAACAAACAAGCAAAGAGAAAAAAAAAAAACTCGCAAACACACCGACTGGGAAGGCCTCTTAAACCGGACGCTTGCCTCCTCCAGGAGATCGTAATCGTCTTCATCCAGTTGATCATTGTGCTCTCTAGAGGCACAAGCACGGCTTGAAAACTACATTCGAAGACACAAAGCAAACTCAAACCTCTTCTTTCGTTTCTTCTTCTTGACTCGCTCTTCCTCGTCAGTCGCTTGCCGGGCATCATCCTCTGCTTCCTCCGGTTCCTCTTCCTCCTCCTCATCTCCATCGATTATAAAATCATCCTTCTCGTATTCATCCTGTCCCTCTGCGAATTTCTCCGAGAATTGAACCAAAACCCGAAAATGCAAGCCGCAAATCGCCTACCTTCCTCGTCTTCGTCATCATCGTCCAATCTCTCGGGCGCTTCCTCTTCTTCTTCTTCTCCCTCGTCGTCCCGCTCGTAATCATCGTCTACACACACCCCAGCGGCTCTAGGAGACCAAAGAGAGGAGGAAGAAAGAAGGAGCGCGCTGCTACATACCTTCCCGGACGCCCATTGCTCTGCCACTGCCCTAACCTAAACCCTGCTAAGGGCTTTTATATAGTGAAAGTTTTGTTTTAATTAAACACCCATTACTTTGTTAACTAATCACTTCTCTATCACCTCACAGGGATTTTGATCCAGCCATTGGCAAATCCCAGCGCCAGGATAACGAAGGGAGTGGAGAAGCCAAATATGACGATGTATGGCAACAGCGTCGACATTGGCCCTCTACCTTCACGCTCGGCGGCCGATTGCCAGTACCTATAGAGATCGATCAAAGCAAAAACACTCTCACTTCTTTGCAAGAATCCAAAAGGAAATCACTCACTCTTCCGGTTCCTCTTCCTTGGTTATGAACTTTCTCTTCTCCTTGCTGCTGCTTCCTCCATCGCCCCCTGCCGAAGTTAATGAATTCACGCACAGCCCAAGAAGCAATCCATACCGAAGAGAGCGCAGGTCCCTCGCCATGACTTGCCAGGCGAATGTAGCTTCTTGTCCAGTGTTGGAGACGCTAGCAGCAGCAGCTTCAAGCGCGGCTTCGTCGTAAGCAGACGCGATACCACCGGAAGAGGAGCCACCGCGAGCCAAGCAGCAGCCATGGACGAAACTCTGAGAGCTCAATCCACTCGACTGTCTCTTTCGCTCAGCCTCGACTCGTCTCTGTTTAGTAGCAAAGACGAGCTTTGTTTTTGTTGTGGCTTTTTATGTCGTCGCCACAAGTTCCTTGTAGCCCCTGAAGATATCCCGTGCCTCGGGGTGGCAATCCAGAAACATGTCCTCGAACACTTGGCGGCGCATATGCAGGTAGCAAGGCGGGTAGTCCTGCTTGATGATGTGCTTGGCTTTGAGCCATGCAACCAGCCTGTGCCGCGGCTTCACCCTGTCCTCCAAGTCGTAGCCGAAAAACTGCGGGAACTTGAGCAGCTCGTCCATGTCGAGCTGCATGTCCTTGAGCAGATACTCAGTGGTGGCCATCACGCGCTGGTCATCCCTGTACAGCAGCGGCATCCGGACCTGGACCAGCGTCTTGAGTTGCTTCTCCGTGATTCCCAATCGCCTCAGCCGCTCCAGCCGAGATTCTATGAAACCGATGGGAACGGCCATCGCATAGACGAGTATCTCGTTGAAGGCATCGCTGTGCCTCCGGAATCCCAGCTCCTCGAAGTACTTGACTTTCTCGTCCACGAACTCAACGCTCTCGCCCAGCACCGACGGCCGTCGACGGAGGAACGCTGCCAGTCCCCGGGTGGTGAAGCCCAAGCTCGACTTGAAATACTCGATCACGGGCTTCACTTGCGTGTTGATGTCGTAGTTCATGATGGCCGGATGCTTGGTGAGCATGGTAGCCAAGTCGTGCTGCTCCACCCGAAGGCTCTTGTAGAACGCAAGCCGGGTTTTGACTTCATCGAGCTTGAGTCCCATGAACTCCGGATACACGTACATGATGTCCGCCAGCTGCGACGACTTCACCCCCAGGAAGAGCAAGAAGTTGGCCTTGCGACGCAGGCAAGTGCTTACCATGTCGCTCAGCAGCTGCGGGCATTTGCACAGCAGAGCACCAACGCTCTTGCGACGAAAACCGAGGCCGTCCAGAAACTCCACCTTGGGGATGATGTTGCTCTCGAGGCTGTAAGCCAGCACCCGGGGATTCTTGAGTATGATCCTCTTGGCGTGAGCGCGCTGGACGCCGATTCCCTTGAGATACTCCACCTTGTTGATGACGCTCTTGTCCAGGTTGAGCACCAGCAAGCGTGGAAACCTGGTCACCAGCGAGAGCAACTCGTCGTCCTCCAGCAGCAGCACCGTCTTGAAGTACTTCACAATCTGCGTCAACTTTGCGATGTTGCAGCCGACCAGAACAGCCGGATCATCGCGCACCATCTTGATCGCCGCCTCCTTGGACGCGCCAACTTGCTGCTGGATCGCCACCACCAGCGCCTCGGCATTCACCTGGCTCAGAACCTCCACCCGCGTGGGAGCATCCGTGATGATCTTGCCAATCACCGTCTTCGCGACACCGAGTCTCTCTAGCTGCTGGATCACCGGTCTCAGCTCCTCTTCCAGCTCCACGCGGAAAGCCCAGGGACAATGGTACACGGCCTCTCCCAGCTCCCTGGGGCCTAACCCGAGCTCGGAGAGGATCCCGACCGTGTCCAAGCAGTCTCTCAGACTGTAGTGGAGAATTTGCCTGTTCCTCTTGAGCAAGTGCCAGAAGTTCCTCTTGGGAATGCCTTTGCCTTCCATGGCCTTGGCAGTGCGGAGCAGTCCCATGTCTCCACAGAGATCCACGCGAGGGAAGACAAGGGAGTCATTGGCGCTAGCCATGCCAATGCTCTCCAGGAAAGGCTCCATCTCATCCACACCTTCCTTTTGCATCACCGCTTCCACCCACGTCCTCACCTGATCGTAGCTGCGCTCTTGCTGCTGCTGCTGCTGATCGCCAGCACCTCGCAAGCGCTGCACCACGGAATTGATGTAGGTTGGAGCGCCAGTGCTGATGAAGACGGCGTCGTCCAGCGGCACTCCACGCCGGAAGTGGAGATAGTTTTGCAGCGCCATTGCCACGGCCTGGCGGATGCGGCAATCGGAAGGTGAAGGGCGCGAGGGCGACGAGGAAGAGGACCATGCGGCACCGGCGCCATACGTGAATCCATACAGCGCCTTGACGTAGTCGCATTTGGAGGCCACATCGGTGGAGAGAGCGCTGCCGCTGCTGCCGCTGATGATCCCAATGCCGCCGCCGCCGCCGCTACTGCTGCTGCTGCTCTCCACCAGCGAGCACAGAAAGCGATGGCCGTGGCGGGCAGCGACGACCCTGGCGAATGCGGCCATTCCCTCTCACCCCATTCTTCTAGAACCCTAAAACCCTAGATTCGATGTAAGCATTTTTCTTAATCTCATTTGACCATAAATTTGACATTTTACAATTTGTCTCAAACAAAAGCAAACCAAGAACTAATTCCTGGTGATTCGGATTCATGTCACAGCCCTCAGAGACGGTCGATAAACCACTGCTCCACTGTAATCATCCATGAGCTCGGCAGGTATCTGGCTCCAAGTGTTTGCGTTCAGGTCGTAAACCACAACTGGATTCTCCTCCGAGAAGCAAACAAGATTGCCATCGGCAGCAGTCTTCACTTGAAACATACGACGATATAATCCCTTCTTTAGAATGCAGATTATATGCACAACAGAAACTGTAACCAAGCTGCCATTGTTGTCAACTCTCCATATGCCAAAACCATCCAGTCCTTTATAATCTCTTGCATACACCCAGGCGCTTGCAAAGTATTGCTGACCATTGTACTCCCATAGCCTCGAGGCACACCGGCCCGGCTGTGGCAAAACGCAGTGGAATTTTCCTTTGAGGCCTGTTGTGAACCTAAGGCTGGGCACCACACTCCCAACGCTCCACTCGCAGCATCTGATGTCATACACGCGCAAAGTAGTGAGGTTGTAATAGAAGTCGTCCATGCCTGGGAATGTGGGGGTGTTGCTCCCAAGGTTCATGTTGAGTAGCCCCGCTCTCTTGGTTCTAGCTTTGACGTGAGCTTGCGAGAAGTGCAGCATGCCTAGTGCCGACCACACTCGAGTGGCCGAGTCGTACACGTAGCCAGTGTGGCCCGTTGCAGCAGCACCCGAGTGGTGCACGCCCAGCTTGAAGAAACCACTGCCATCGTCCACAAACATCACAAAGTCGTCGATGGTCGCTGCTTCTTCTGTGTGCTTCCACTGCAGCGCTGGTATCTCCGTCCATTCCCGGGTGAGTGGATTACCGACCAGGAAATAGTACTCGAGCGCTTGTGGTGGTACAAAAACACGGGGCACGCAGTGGAGGCATACAAGGCCGCCAGCAGAAGCCACGACCTTAGCAAAAGCAAAGGATTCCTGCACTGGGGGTAGCTTGAGCTCTCGCCTGTTACCCAACGCTCCAAACGCATAGCAGCGCTCGTGCCCAAAGGAGCTTGTCATGATCCGGGGGGCCGCTCTGACACCAGCGTTGCGGCACCACAGGTGGCGAAAGGTGTGCGACTTGATGATGGACTTCCATGACTTGCAAACGACCAAGCAACTCGACAGCGTGGCCAGGTCCACAAAGCTCAAAATCCTCTCCAAAGTATCATCCTGGGTGATGGACTCCATCCCTTTGCTTGAAGGCTTAGGATCTAAAAGTTATAAACCCAAAAGGATTTTTCTTTGAACTTTAAAGGTTTTTTTAAGACTTACAGGGTAACTATTAGGGCGTCAGAGTGTTGTGCTTCCAAAACATTCACAATGGAGAAGCTCAAGGTCGGCGGGGATCAAGTGGCACGCTTCGCTGGCAGCATGAGCAGGATGCAATCAGGCTTTCCGGGATGGCAACTGTGCGAGGAGGTTGCATCGAGGCAGATTCACGGGCTCCAGATCCTGACTGCTGTGGGAGTACAGCGACCGTACCTCATGACGACCAGGTCTTTGTTGGCAATGTTGGCGATGCTTATGGTTACGTAATGGATATCAGCCAGGAGCATGACTGCAAGTGTCCTGGGGAGCTAGACAGGGTCGTCAAGGCGGGTGGCTAGACGCATAACTGTGGCTGGCAAAGAAGACGATGCAGATTCGCTCATGGTGACCCGCAGCATTGGAGATTGGTCGTTCAAGAGCAATCTGCAGCTGAGTCAAGCTGTGAGTGCTGTTCCGGACATTGTCAACTTTGACATCTCCAAAGGCTGCGACTTCCTCCTTATTCTTGTTTCTGATGGAGTCGATAAAAACAGCATAGACAATTAATTGTGGACAGATTCGGAAGGCGTTGCAGGTCAGAGACTACGAATAACTGAAGCAGGTCGTCTACAAGATCTTAGCGTCTTCTAAGAACGACGACCAAACGCTGCTCTTGGTCGAGTTGAAGGCAGTTGCTAGGCAACACGTTCATTCATCGCCTTAATTCACAACGTCTAGTTCGTACACGAATCCGAGCTTGTACCAATGAATTGCGTCTACTGTCTGTCAAACTCTACACACCAGGATACGGTCAGAGTCGAGAACGATGTGAGATTGTCTCGAACTGTAGTTTGTAAATTCTCGCTTCCAAAGCTTGCGGGCGAAGGGGCAGATAAAAAACATGGGACTGTCAGCATTTCAAGAAGCCAGGATTATTTCTTTGACCCAGGGGATTTGTGAAAAGTTTAATATTTTCTTACTTCAAAAGAGCGCCATGACTTCGAGGCGGCAAAGAAGCGAGAAGCTTGTTCCTGACGTTAATACCGGGGTGACGGTACAACATTAGAGATCACGTTTGTCAGAAAGACAGCAAAGACTTTTTCCCCAAAACAAAAACTCCAAATACATCCGTGAAGAGAGCGCTCAATCGTCCCAATGCCGCCGCTGCTGCTGCTGCTAGCACAGGAAGCGTGGCGAGCCCTGGCACTAGAACCCAAAAACACTAAAACCATCTCCTCATTCACTATATCATTTGACCGCCTTTAGAATCGGTCTCAAACTTGCGTCAGAATTGGTATTCATGCCACACGCCTCAAAGACGGTCGATAAACCACCGTTTCATTGAAACGATCTGTGAGCTGGGGTGGCTCTATCTCGCACCATTTGTCCGTGTTCAGGTTGTAAACCACAACTGGAGCGTCGTCTGAGAAGCAGACAAGGTTGCCATCGGCGGCTGTCATCACTTGAAGCATATAATACTGACGTTTAGGATCCTTTATAGCGCAGGTTACACACACAGCAGAAACTGCAACCAAGCTTCCATTGTTCTCAACTGTCCACACGCCAAAACCATCTACTCCATCATCTCTGTCACAGGTAACCCCTGCATACACCCAGGCACTTGCAAAGTATTGCTGGCCATTGTACTCCCACAGCCTCGATGTGGACAAGCCTGGCTGCGGCAAAACACAGCACACACGGCTGTCGAATTCCCCTTTGCCAGCCTTGAATTGCCTTTCACAGCCTGTTGTGAACTTGAGGCTGCACACCACACTCCCAACACTCCACTCACAACGTCGGATGTCATACATGCGCAGGGTAGTGATGTCGTAGTAGAAGTCGTCCATTTCTGGAAATGTGGGTATAAGGTTCATGTTGCAGAGCTCTTCCCTCTTGGTCCTCACTTTGATGTAAGCTTGCGAGAAGTGCAGCATACCCAATGCCGACCACGCTTGAGTGGCTGAGTCGTATACGTAGCCAGTGTGCCCCGTTGCAGCAGCACAGTGAACGCCCAGCTTGAAGAAACCACTGGCATCGTCCACAAACATCGCAAAGTCCATGGTCGCTTCTTCTGCGTCCTTCCACTGCAGAGCTGGTATCTCCATCCACTCGCAGGTGAGTGGATTGCCCACCAGGAAATGGTACTTTGGACGTGCTTGTGGTGGCAAGCAGAAGGCGCATAGAAGGCCGCCAGCGGAAGCCTTGATTCTAGCAAAAGTATAGGGCTTCCGCAATGGGGGTAGCTTGAGCTCTCGCCTGTGGCCCGACTCTCCAAAGGCGTACAAGCACCAGCTCGTGTACTCGGAACCGGGGACGCTTGTCAGGATCTGGGGTGTCTCTTTGACACCAGCGTTGCGGCACCACAGGTGGCGAAAGGTGTGTGAGTTGATGATGGAGTTCCATGACTTGCAAACGACCAAGCAATTCGATAGTGTGGCCAGGTCCACAAAGCTCAAAATCATCTCCAAAGTATCATCCTGGGTGATGGACTCGATCCTCTTGTTTGAGCGCTTCATTCGTTGGCTTCAACCCTAAACCTTAAAGATAATATTAATTTCAACGACCCTTTAATCCTTTTTGCTAGACTAAAGGATATTCCTTTGTTTTTCGTGCCCTAATGGCGATGGCGGTCTTTCTGGCGCTGTGCGTGTTCGCGATTGGGTTCTTCGCGGCCAGGTGAGCGATTTCGGATCTCACAGCTCCTTTTCTGCTGGCTGATGCGATCTAGCGCAGGGGCGAGGAGAGATATGTGATTGACGGGACGATCAGATTGCAAGGTATGATGGATTCGTCCTCTCTTCGTTTCGATTTGCTAGTTTTGCTCTTCTTATTCGCTAGATCTTCAATTGAAGCCTGCCAGTGTCAAGCTCTTGCTGAATGGAGGGGAGAAAATCACTTTCCCACTCAAGAATGGCTATTTCGCTTTGTAAGTAGCTTGTTAGTTTTATTTCATTCTTTCTATGCTTGTGTGATGTCTTATTCGAAAAACATGGTTTCGTTTATTTAGTCAAGGGATTCCGGCAGGCACACATCTGATCGAAGTCTCTGCGCCTGGATTTTTTTTTTCACCGGTACATTTACAGTCGAGTCTCGAAATTTTTTTCCTTTACAAATTCTTTCTTCGTGCAGCTCCGGGTTGACGTGAGTGCAAGACTGCACGGGCAAGTGAGAGCAAGTCGGTCGAGACCGGAAGAGTTCTCTCCGGTAACTTGGTGCTCGAGCCAATGAGACAGGAGCAATACTTCGAGGTGATCATCCTCTCTTGCTGTTGCTGTTCAAGATACATAAGTTTGTTTCGTTTCAGAAGCGTGAGCCGTTTTCAGTCCTCGGCTTGTTGAAGAGTCCCATGGGATTGATGGTGGCTTTTATGCTGATAGCCGTTGTCGTCCTTCCCAAACTTATGGACAACATAGGTAAGCAATTACGTTTCCCTTTTCCCTCCTTTCGTTGTAGTTGTTGGTTCCCTTTTTGTTCTTGATTTTCGCTTCTCCTCCTTTGGCTGAGTCGTGGTGCTCGCAGATCCGGAGGAAATGAAAAAGATACAGGAGGAAATGCGCAATCGCCCATCCCCGTCATTTTCAAATCTTTTACAAGGGGCCCGGAGCTAGCCATGTAGGAGAGCAAAGTCACAAGCTAGAAAAGGTTTGTGTCACATAGTTCTTACGAATTCAGACACTTGTTTGCAGCGAGAACTTGATTGATTGAAGGTAGCCACCTTAAAAGCGAGAATGAGTCTCGTTTATTCGATCTCGGCTTCACCAAACCAGTTGTCCGAGTTTGGTGTTTTGGTCGTAGCATTTAAACCGGACATGTGACCGCGCACCTCACTGCCGGAGAGCATATTCTTTTACAGGGCGGTGGTGCCTTGTTCGTCCTCTCGTCTCACACCGTCAGTGCGTTCTTTTTTTCTTCGTTTTTTCCTGCTCTCTTGTTCGTCTCACATCGTCTTCTTCTTGTTCTTCTTCTCTTCGCCTTCGGAGTTCTTCTCTTCTTCTTCCTTGTCTCTGTGTTTAGTTGGTCTTGTTCTTCGTTTTTGGTGGCTCTGCAGGGATGGAGGAGAGCAAGATACTGGGCTGCTGGCCATGGCAGCGGATGGGCACTTACAAGGTGAATACAAAAACCTTTTTTTTCTTCTATTTCTTCTTCTTCTTTCTTTTCTGGCTCCAGTCTTTTGCTGATTGCCTGGCCTTGTTGGTTTTCAATTTTCTTGTTTTGCAGTATCACTTGTTTCTACCGATATTCTTGAGCGCTGCTCATTCTCACTACTTGGGGACGAGCCCCCGCGACAATTGGTGTTTCCACATTCTCGTCATCGCTGCTCTTCGCTACGCGCTGTACCAGGCTTGGTCCAGCTTCGCTCGTCTACACGCCGTGGTGAAACACCATCAGATCATATCTTATGCTCTCACTTACGAGCAAGTCGATCGAGAATTTGACTGGTAACTTTCGTTCTCCCTTTTGTTTTTGTCCATCTCATGGCATTGTCTTTTCTCCTTTCAGCGACAATGGAATTATCCTGCACTCGTTGCTGGCTTACGCACTTGGACCCAATGACATCAGCGGGTTTTCCATTTGGAATCTTCGCGGTCTCGTCTACCTGATTGCTTTCCACGCCGGGGTCACCGAGTCTGCTTACTACTGGCTTCATCGGGCCTTCCACACGAAATCTTTGTTTCGTTCTTTTCATTCTTACCACCATGCTTCTACTGCACCCGAGCCAGCAACGGGTTAAGTACAGTCCGATTTTCTTCTTTGTTCTCTGAGCTGATTTTTCCGTGTGATTGACGTGCAGCTTTTACTCACACTTTCCTAGAGGCCCTTCTCCAGACGGTTTTGATGTCTGTACCCATTTTTGCGTCGTGTTTTCTAGGCGGAAGCTGTCTAGCTCTCTTCTACGTGTATCCCCTGGCTTTTGACTTCTTCAAATACTTGGGACATTTCAACTGCGAGATCGTACCTTTGTGGGCTTTTCAGAAGCTTCCGTTGCTCAAGTATCTGATTTACACACCATCGTAAGTTCTTTTTTCTTATAAGTACCTAGAATAAACTTGTTTGGTTTTTTCTTTTGATCGCAGCTACCATTCTCTTCACCATTTGGATCTCAAATCCAATTTTTGTTTATTCATGCCGCTGTACGATTATTTAGGTGGCACGCAACATCCAAACACTCACGCGTTTTACAGATCGATCAGGAAAGATGGTATGTACGCCTGGAAGTTTTTTGTCATTATCGTCACTACTTGCTTCCAGGACGAGAAGCTGTCCCGCAGTTCGTTTTCCTGGTCCATTGCATTGACATATTGTCCTCGCTGCACGTTGCTTTTAGTGGCCGGACCGCTTCGAGCGTCCCTTTTAGAGGCGAGTGGTACGCTTGGCTCGTTTTCCCAATCGGCTTAGTCTCCTGCTTCTGTGTATGGATATGGGGAAAAACTTTTGTGGCAACAAAGTATCTTCTCGACGGGCTACATGCACAGAGCTGGGTGGTTCCGAGATATGGATTCCATGTAAGCTAGACAGAAACTTTGTTGTGGGATTTCGCGTTTCTAACACTCTCTTGGATCAGTACTTCATTCCTGCTTGTGCTGCTGGCATCAACAGGCACATCGAACGAGCCATCCTGGACGCGGACGAGCTTGGCGTCAAAGTTATCAGCCTGGCTGCATTAAACAAGGTGAGCATCTAAATCTCCTGCGCTCTTGTTTTCTACTTCCCGTGCTTTCTGCAGAATGAATCGCTCAATGGTGGCGGCCTGCTGTTCGTGAAAAAGCACCCGAATCTCAAAGTCCGTGTTGTCCATGGGAACACACTCACAGCTGCGCTCGTCTTGCGGGAGCTCCCAGCCGAGACGAGCGAAGTCTTTCTGACCGGATCTACATCCAAGATCGGGCGCGCAATTGCGCTCTATCTCTGCAGGAGGAACGTCCGCATCATGGTACCATTGTACTTTCACACAGGTTTTTCTTGCTTTCTCACTCCAGGTTCTTTTCCAGATGCTTACCACTTCGAGAGAGCGATACCAGTCCATAGTGGACGAAGCTCCGGCGGACTGCCGACATAATCTTGTGCAGGTGACCAAGTACCAAGCCGGTCAGACGTGCAAGGTGACAGTTTCCCTTCGTTTTCCTCTTTTCAGATGAAGAAAGGCTTTTCTTTGTTCGTTTTTCCCGCAGACATGGATCGTTGGCAAATGGGCGACGAGCCAGGATCAGAGCTGGGCTCCGCATGGGAGCCACTTTCATCAATTTGTGGTACCTCCTGTTCACGAGTACAGGAAAGACTGCACGTATGGAAAGCTGGCAGGGATGAAGCTGCCACAGAGCGTAGAGGGCGTGCACAGTTGCGAGGTTGGTTGCTCGATGACATCTCCGCCGCTTTGATTCCTCACTTCTTTCTGTGTTGGTGGCTCCGCTGCGCTTTTTTGCAGTATACGTTTGACAGGGGGGTGGTTGCTGCGTGTCACGCCGGCGGTCTCGTTCATGCGCTGGAGAATTGGACGCATCACGAAGTTGGCAGCATTGACATCGATCACATTGATCTAGTGTGGGAAGCGGCACTTAAGCACGGGCTTGAGCCAGTCCTTTGAAAGTTCAGAGCAAACTAAAGGGAAAAGAAAAACAAAACGAAAAAGACATTTTTATAAAGAAGGAAACAAAAAAGAAAGAAATCTCAGTTTACTTGTACCGATCAGATTTTTCAGCGATCACTGAGAAAGAGGAGAGAATCATAGCGTAGACTAATTTACTTGTAGAAAGAAGCAGCATCCTTCAATCTTTTGAAGAAAAAATCATAATTTAAGACTATTAGTCTAACGCATCCTTTGCAGAAACATGTTGAGCCATCTCGAGCTTGCTCTTGAATTCCACCCCTTGCGATCCACCATCAGGCCTTCTATAACATGAACTAATTTCCAAACACACTCTGGAAATCCCTGGATCACCCAGACCTTTAGAGATTACATTGCTCCATTCCAAGTCCCTGTGAAACGAGCTCGGCTCCATGGAGAGCATCGAGTCCCAGCGAAGTATGCTTCACTGCTTGCACAAGTTTTTTCTTGCTGATTGCAATCTCCCAGCTAACCCACGCATCATGCACGACTAAGATTGACCACAGTTTGATTGCAATTTACCCCAAGAACAACTCCAAGAGAAAGCATTGTGCACTAAGCACACAAGACAAAATCCATTGCTTGTTGCTCCCTGAACTCACTTTGATGTCCTTTTTCTCGGTTTCCTTACCATATTACTTTATTTTTTCTCTTCAACCAAGCTACCTTTCTCCCAAACAATCTAGTTTGCTTTTGCTAGCTTTATTTTATTTCCACTCTCTAGTTCTTTTCCTTGCATTCACTACTAGGAAATCATGTTGCCCCTCTCATCAAGCATGTTATCCCTACTAGAATCTCTAGGATTTCTTATTTGCAAAAATCCTTCAATCCCTCAATTCTTGAATGTGATCATCTCCAAAGTATCATCTTGGTCTATCCTCTTGTTTGAGCGCTTCATGATCGCGAATCTAACTTTTAAAACTTATCTTTCTCAAAGGAGGACTGACCGTACAAGAAAACACTCAGCTTTGGACAAGATTCCGTGTGAGTCTTGATAATGTAAGTGGCAGCACAAAACTTGCATATAATTTACACCTCTTGCCAATAGAATCACTTCCTCGGTCCATCACTGGTTCTTCGAAACGAAGTGCATAGATGGAAACCAGACTTCAAGACCAGTTAAGAAGCGAGGGGCCTGATTTCGAAAGCAGCTCTTTGGCAGCGTCTTTCCCCATGGCCACCATCTCGTCAAGATTGTATTGCCCACTCCGAGTTGTCTCCAGCACTGAGTTTCAACCAGTTACAAAGGATGATCTTTGCACAAAAAGCAAAAGCAAACCTTGGGTGCCGTCAGGTGATGCAACGAGTCCCCGGAACTTGCACTCGTCCGTGAGCTTGTCCCTGTGTGCGTATCCAGCAATTGGAGTCCGGCATGAGCCGTCGAGCATTTCCAGAAAGGCTCTCTCGCACGAAACGGCCAGTCTCGTCTCTTCGTGGTTGAGAGAAGCCAGATATCTCTCCTGCATCGACAGACAAAACAGAGTCACACTCGAGAGAAAACAAAGAAGCGAATACCATTTTCTCATCGCCTTGTCTGCAAGCAATTCCAATGGCTCCCTGCGCAATGGCCGGAAGCATCTCGTCCATGGGAAGCACACCAGTGACGTGCTCCGTCATGTTCAAGCGCTTGAGGCCAGCCAATGCCAAGAGCGTCGCAGTCACGATTCCCTCTTGGAGCTTCTTAAGCCGGGTTTGGACGTTGCCTCTAAAGTTCGTGTCAACCTGGGTGGAAAGTCAAATCCCATTTTGATCAGGCACAAAAAACAATAGGACAGAATCGGGATCAAACCATCTTGGCATCAAGCACGAAAGAAGAAAAGATAAAGCAAAGGTAATACAAACAAACAAGCAAAGGAAGAAAGAAAGAAAAACAAGCACGAGAACAGCTATCTCACCTGGAGATGAGGATACCTCTTGAGAATTTGCGACTTTCTTCGCAGCGATGCAGTCCCGACGACGCTTCCCGGCGGCAATTCAGCCAGCGACTTTGCTTTGAGACTGATGAAAGCATCTCTAGCGTCCTCCCTTCGCAGGTTGCAAGGAAGAATGGTCCCTTGCGGGAGATACGTCGGCACATCCTTCATCGAGTGAACCGCAATGTCGATCCTGTTGTCGAGCAGCGCATCGTCAATCTCTTTGGTGAAGAGTCCCTTCCCACCAATGTCCGCGAGTGGCTGGTTGAGAATCTTATCCCCGGTCGTCTTGATAATCACGATTTCCAGCGCGCCATCCTCGGCGAGCTCCGGATGCGCGCCCTTGAGCAGATCTCGCGTCTGGTACGCCTGTGCCAGCGCCAGCGGGCTGCATTCGCAGGGATTTCCACAGCATTCCCCTCAGCGCACGGATCCGGAAGAGAGAAATCCACTGACTGACCTTCCGCGCGTTCCAATCCGGATGACCGCCACATCTGTGCTCGCCACCGCCGCCCTCACCGTAATCCCATGCCTGGCACCACTCTTCCTCCCCCTGGCGGCGCGATCGCCCTGCAAATCCAAGAGCAATGGCGGGCGCGCCACAGCGGCCATAGCTCGCGCTTAAGGGGATAAAATAAGGAAGGGGCTTTAGGGTTTAAAGGTTTAGGTTTATTGGTTTAGGTTAAGAACAGAATATTCCAGAGCATCTTACCTTGAAAGAGATCTCATGTATACGGAGGTACGCATCTCTGCCGGGGGAGGTCTCTCGTGCTCCTCTCGAGTTCTTGTCTAAAGCTTTGCTTCGCGGCAGAGAAGAATGCGAGGAGAGATCGCGCGGCGCGTCACTGCGGTGGTGGGCGTCGGGCCTGGCCTGGGCCTCTCAATCGCGCGGAGGTTTGCTCGCGAGGGCTACATCGTCGCCATTCTCTCCCGGAACCTAGGTCTGTGAATCCAATCGATTTGCGGCGCAGCGCCGCCGGGACGATGATCAGATCTGTGTCTGTGATCCAGAGAAGCTCATGAAATTGGCCGAGGAGATCGTGGAGAAGGAGGCCAAGGCGCAGGTCGCGGCGATTCGAATCGATTGCGCCGATGGCAAGTCCGTCAAGGAGGCATTCGAGGCCGTCCACTCGCTCGGCGCGGTGGAGAGTTTGGTAAGAACAGTGTGACGTATCCATCCTCGCAACCGATCCAGCAGCTTTCCAAGAATTCTTTCGCTAGACTTGATTGATTTTGATGGATACTTTTCTTGCGTGTTCTTCCTCCCAGGTCTTTAATACCAACACTCCATTTCCATGGCCGCCTCCCAAGTTCACGGACGTCAAGCCCGAGTCCTTCGAGCGATCCATCACGGTGCCAATCATGGGCGCGTTCTACTGTGCTCAACAGGTTCTTCTTTTTTATTTCTTTGATCGTCGTCTTCGCGAATCTTTCTTAAAGGGGCTAGCGCTCAAGATCCCCTTGTCGCGTTTGTAATGTAGGTGCTGCCAGGCATGGTCGAGCGAAGAAAAGGAAGCATTCTCTTCACTGGCGCCACTGCTTCGCTGCGAGGAAGCGCTGGTTTTGCAGAGCTTGGTATGGATCTTCTGCCTCTATCTTTGATATGATCCTAGATTTGATCTTGTAGCTTGCGGTAAGTTTGGCCTGCGAGCTCTCGCGCAATGCCTGGCGAGAGAATACCAGCCGCAGGGGATTCACGTCGCTCACGTTGTCATCGATGGTATGATCGCTTCGTCGCAGAAGTAAGAAATCCTCCGCCCCGAAAGAAGGATTTGACGATTTCTCCAATTCTTCGTTTGAGCAGTGCCAATGATCAAACTGGGCTAAACCCAGATGCCGTCGCCGATAGCTTCTGGCAGCTGCATTGCCAAGACAAGAGCGCGTGGACCATGGAACTGGATTTGCGACCCTTCTTCGAGAAATTCTAGAGACATCCCTGTACAGTTTGTGTGTTTTATAGGAGCTCCCCTGTTTTAGGGTTCTTGGAGATTTTGATCTCTCTTGCGTGTGAGTGTTAGGGTTTTTGGGCGGGGCAATGGGAGTTCCCGCATTCTACAAATGGCTGGCCGACAAGTACCCGCTCATCATCGTGGACGCCATCGAGGAGGAAGCTCAGCAGATCGGCGATGTCGAGGTTCCGGTGGATCTCACCAAGCCAAATCCGAATGGCGTCGAGTATGACAATCTCTATCTCGACATGAACGGGATTATCCACCCCTGCTTCCATCCGGAGGATCGGGTAAGCGCGATTTCGATTTCCTGCCTTGTCTAGGTCAGCTCAGCGATGGATTAGAATGAAAATATTCTCTTTGCTTTGCAGCCGTCGCCGTCTACGTTCGATGAGGTCTTCCAGTGTATCTTTGATTACATTGATAGGCTCTTCGCGATCGTTCGTCCCAGGAAATTGCTCTACATGGCCATCGGTATAGTCTTAGCTCCCTTGTTCCTTGTTTTTCCTTGTCCTTTCGTTGTTCATTGGGTTGAATCAGACGGTGTTGCTCCCAGAGCTAAAATGAACCAGCAACGCTCTCGGCGATTTCGTACTGCCAAGGAAAACGCAGACAAAGTAAGCTCTCCCTCTGTGGTTGTTTTCTTCTCTTGTTCATAGTTTGAGCTTGGAATTCGTGTCAGGCAGCCGAGGAAGAGAGGCTAAGGCTCGAGTTTGAATCCGAGGGACGTAAAATTCCTCCCTCTGATAAGAGTGAAGCTTACGACTCCAACGTTATCACACCGGGAACGCCTTTCATGGCTAGCTTGGCTGTGGCCTTGCAGTACTATACGCACCTTCGGCTTAACAACGATCCTGCATGGCAAAACGTGAAGGTATGTGTTTTCGCTCTCTTCTGAAAAAATCCAATGTTTACATCATTGTTGGTTTCAAACCAGGTTATTCTCTCGGATGCAAATGTTCCTGGAGAAGGAGAGCACAAGATTATGTCCTACATACGGCTTCAAAGGAATTTGCCCGGTTTTGACCCGAACACACGCCATTGTCTATATGGACTGGTAGAGCTATCAATGATCGTATTTATCCTTATATCTGTTTGAAACTTTCCAGGATGCGGACTTGATCATGCTTGCGTTGGCGACTCATGAGCTACATTTCTCAATTCTTAGGGAGGTAAGTTTTTATTCCCATTCTGTTCCAAGGACGTAAGATATCATGTTTTAAAGCACAGACTTCTTCATGTTCAGGTTGTCTTTCAAGCAGGCCAGCAGGATAAGTGTTTCATTTGTGGGCAAGTAGGACACATGGCTGCCAACTGTGAGGGAAAGGCAAAACGGAAACTTGGAGATGGGGAAGATCCTGAACCGGTAGTAAAGAAGCCTTATCAGGTATTGTTTTTCCTTCAAGTCGTTTTATACTGAATACTTACTGCAGTTTCTTCAAATCTGGACGCTGCGTGAATATTTGGAGTACGACCTTCAAATTCCCGGATTTCAACCCGATTTTGAACGCATTGTCGACGATTTTGTGTTCATGTGCTTCTTCGTAGGGAATGACTTTCTTCCTCACATGCCAACTCTTGAAATTCGAGAGGTAAGTGCTGCTGGATTTGGAGTCCGATATTAAACGGTTTGTACAGGGAGCAATCACTCTGTTGATGAGTATCTATAGAAGGGAGTTCACGCGGATGGGAGGCTACCTCACTGATGCCGGCGATGTGAGTTGTTTCGGTCGTGTGTTTTGTAGATTTACACTTTTTTTCTTATTCATCAGGTGAATCTTTCTAGAGTTGAGTATTTCATTCAAAAAATTGGAGCGAATGAAGACACAATCTTTCAAAAGCGCGCGCGTATACATCAAGTATGGTTGTCTTTGTTCTGAGCTTAAACTTAAATTTCTCCTTGCAGCGGCAAGCGGACCGGCAAAAGCAAAGAAGGCGTGGGGATGATGCGGAGCCGGGTGTGCGGCCGGATTTAGTAGCTATAACCGGCAACAGAGGTTCACGTCTAGCAACTGCGCCCGCACCCTCTCCTTTTCAATCACGCGATGACAAGCTTCGGAGTAACCATCGAGCTGCACAAAATCTCAAAGCCTCAATGTCAGGATCTAGGAAAGACTCGGACACAAGTTCACCGGGATTCAGGGGTGCAAGTTCCAGTCAAGGTAGTCCACCGCTCAAACGCTTGCGAGTAGATGAGACGACAGCGATTGCCACCAAGGAGGATGATATGCAAGAAAATGCAGAGGAGCTGAAGCTTAAAGTCAAGAATGCTCTTCGGGAAAAATCAGACCAGCTGGTTAACCAAGTAGTTGACACGGTAAGACTTCTTTTGTGTTTCTTTTTTCCTTACTGTTGTCTTCCAGGTAAAACTAGGCGAAGCCGGATGGAAAGAAAGATACTATGCAGACAAGTTCGAAGCTTATACACCTGAAGCAGTTGACGACGTTCGGAAAGGAGTGGTATGATGATCACTTTACTCTGCTGTGCCTGTAATATTTCTTGTTTTGTTTTCAGGTGCAAAAATATATTGAAGGCTTGTGCTGGGTTCTCCAGTATTACTACCAAGGCGTGTGCTCTTGGACATGGTACGCTGATGCTTTTCATATTTTTCTTTTTTACCTTTTCATTGGGCAATCCCTTTTATTGCAGGTTCTACCCTTACCATTACGCTCCTTTCGCGTCCGACTTGAAGGATCTGTCTACAATCAGAATAGCGTTTCTGTTGGGGGAGCCTTTTAAACCATTTGATCAGCTGATGGGCGTTTTGCCAGCGGCAAGGTTAATCTTTTCACTTTTGATGCGCATCTGCATTTGTAAAAATTTTGTTCCTTTACAGCTCGGAAGCCTTACCGGAGCACTACAGGCCACTTATGAGCGACGAGGAATCGCCTATAATCGACTTTTATCCAAATGGTAGCTAAACTATTTTGTAAGTTCTCGCTAACTGTCAAGCTTTGCAGATTTTGTGATCGACATGAATGGCAAGCGAGCAGCATGGCAGGTGAATAGTTGTTCTTGTGTTGCTGGAATTATTTTTGTTAAACTGTGGGGATTGCAGGGTGTCGCGAAGCTACCTTTTATTGATGAAGACAGGCTCCTTACCGAGACAAGGAAAGTCGAACCGACTTTAACTGTGAGTCAAGATATTGCTGATCGTTGTAGAAGCTAATCGTGTGCCTGCAGGAGGCCGAAGCCCGCCGTAACAGTACGCTGGAGGAAATACTCTTCGTTTCTTGCAGTCATACTCTGGCGCCCTTTGTATTCTCATTCTACGATCAATATGGACACTTGTCTGGTCCTGAGCGCAGTCAAGCCCGAGAAGCAATTGATCCTGGTGCCAGGTCGTGGTCGCTAATTTATTTTAACAGCAGCTAACATGTTATCCTGGTGGTGTTACAGCGATGGGATGAACGGCTTCTTTGGTCTTTGTAACGGGGATGCCTGCCCGCCAATGTTCACCTCTCCTGTTGCGGAAATGCCCAATATAACTGACAACCAAGTCTTGTAAGTGATTGCTAGCGTTCTCTGGAATGATTGGACTAACTTTTACTTGACAGGTCTGCTATATATCACTTGCCTGCGTATCACAAGCACGTTACGAGACCACCTCCAGGAGCAATCCCTCCAAAACAGGTTTTGTGAAAATGCTTGAGCTAGATTTTCTGCTAACTTGACTCTTCCGTGTGATTTTTAAAGAGTGTGACGGAGCAAGACATAAAAACTGAAACCTTGTGGCACGAAGACCATGGGAGAAGGAACAACTACCATGACAGGTATCAAAACAACTAGATGAAAACCACTTGGGACTGAACTGTGCTATCTTCCAGGCCTGCTCCTCCAGGATCCATCTCAGGGCAATCCCTTGGAGACGCCGCTCGTCGACTGGTCGTGAACTCACTGCCACAGCGAGGAGGGCCGACGCAACAACATCACCACCATCACCATCAGCAGCAACACCATCAGCAGAACCAACATCAGTTCCAAGCTAATTCGTATCAGCAGAACAACAGGTACAACAACAGATACACTTACAACCTCCAATCGCAGCAGCATCAGCAACAACAGCAGCAGCCGCAGCAGCCACAGCAGCAAGGATTGCATCATCAGTCCTATCCTCAGCTCCAACTCCAGCAGCACCAGATCCAGCAGCAGCAAGTTCAGCAGCAGCAGCAGCAGTACAACCAGCAATTCCAGCAGCAGCAGCACTACTTCCAGCAGCAGCAGCATGGAGCAGCAGTGAATGGCTTTTACGCTGCTCATCAGCAGCAGCAGCAGCGTTTCAGCAACAGCAGTGCTAATCCTTTCGCCGCCATTGATGGAAGGCAACGAAGGAACCAACAGCAAAGAAGACACTAGAACAAACGCTTGTGTTGTAAAACATTAAAGGCTAGAAGCATTAGGGTTCTTGGGCAAAAACCTAATTAGGTTATTGTGAGTTTGTGGGGAAGGGCGAGCAGAGATTTGGCAGGCGACTCCACTGCTCGATTGCGGTAAGCTCGCGGCGCGCCTCACTGGCGGGGCGGCGGCAATTCAGCTATGACGGGGCTTAGATCCAATCCGCCCTAACGCGCCTGCCAGCGATTTCTCTGTCTTGCTTCCTCCCGATGTTCTAGGATGCTGTGCAAGGGAGATGCGGTCCGTGTGGCCGCTTCCTCCCTCGTCGCGCCGGCGCTGCTGCCGCCGCCGCCAATGCCTCCGCCGATTCCACTCAGGGATCTGCGCAGCGGCAAATTGCCGTTGCCAGCTGAAGCTACAGAGGTGGACGAAGAGATCGAGGTGGATCTCCGGGAGGTTTATTTCCTTATCATGCATTTCCTGAGGAGCGGCCCTTGCGAGAGAGCCACTGGCCAGCTCTGGAACGAGCTCCTACAGCACAAGCTCTTGCCCCGGAGGTACCATGGATTCTTCTCCAGGAATGGGACTCCCCCCGCCGACGAGAATGACGATGGTTTGTCGTTCCCACTCAGCTACGCGCAAGTTGCCGAGAGGTATTGTGTGTCGCCAAGTTCTTTGTTTTTTTGGTTTGTCTTGCTGACAAAAGGATGGATTTTTTTTTTCGATTTTCAGATATAAGAACGTTGACAACAACCACTTGGTTAAGCTCTTGCAGCAACTACTTGTTCACGACAAGTCCGCGTCCTTGCTTGATGCGAAAGTTCCCAAGCAATTGACCGCCGCGGACGTTCCTACGCTTTTGGGGTCAGGAGCATTCTCGCTTTTGGAATGTAAGCCGTGTGCTTTTCGAATCTTGCCGTTGCTGATCCGAGCAAACTTCATACAGCGGAGCAAAGCAATGCTACTAGTATCTCTACCAAGAGAATAGAACAAATGCGATGGCCGCATTGGCAAGCTGACCAAGTTCATGCTCTCGCGTTCCGTGAACTTGGTGGTGGATTTGCAAAGCATCACAGACCGCCATCCACACGGACTGTGAAACATGTTATCATCAAGCCATCTGTACTGGTGAACAGAATAAGAATCATCCAGGTGCTAAGGGGTCATCGTAATGCGGTATATTGTGGTATGTGTTTCTTTTCTTTTTGATTTTCAAGACCTATTAACGAAGCGATAAACGTGCAGCCGTTTTTGATCGTACTGGACGGTATCTTGTCACTGGCTCGGACGACCGGCTTGTGAAGATATGGTCCGTAGAAAATAGACTTTGCCTTCGTAGCTGTAGAGGACACGAGGTACTATTTTCTGCATCCGTTTCGAATATTGTGCTTAAAACCTGGCTTTTAGGGGGATATAACCGATTTGTCTGTAAGTAGTTCGAACACTCTAGTTGCATCAGCTTCTAACGATTCCTCCATCCGTGTTGTAAGTATTCCTTTGTTGTGTTTTTGTTTCTTCTTTTGATTTATTTCGCTTCTGCCTATAGTGGGGATTACCAGATGGTGTTCCGGTTGCAATACTTCGTGGCCACACGGCGGGCGTAACGGCCATCAAATTTAGTCCTCGACCGGGCTGTGAGCACCATCTTCTATCGTAAGTGTTAATAATTTGGTTTTTCCACTATACTTGTATTAAAATCTCGTGGTTTCAAGTTCGTCTGAAGACGGAACATGCCGTATTTGGGATGCTCGGGATTCTTCTGTCAATTCACGTGTCTACATGCCGAAACCGGATGTCGAACCCGAATGTAAAGAGTCTGCCGATGTTTTTTTGGTCTTCTAAAAGCTTGTTTCCAGCTGCAGGAGCTGAGAATCGAGCACAGGCTACAAATCAGATTCAGTGCTGTGCGTTTAATGCAGATGGCTCATACTTTGTCACTGGGAGTTCGGACAAGCTTGCCAGGGTAAGCATTTAAAGTGGACTTTTTATATTTCTGACAATTGTTGGAACAGGTTTGGGACGCAAGAAAGTGGGCGGACGAGTACACCGGGAGGCCAAATCATGAGCATGACATTCTTAGTGGACACGAGAATGTAGTTAACTACGTGCAGTTCAGGTTCGCCTCTTTGGCTTGGTCCTCGTTGACATCAATCGTCCTTTGTTCCAGTGGTTGTGCAGAGCCAATCAAAGTTTCTCCCGTCGACTTTTTGAAGGATGACAACGTCCCTGACAACATACCGAAGTTCAAAACAACCTGGTATACTGTGCCGCTCATTGCTATCTGGTTTTAACGTTGGTTTTGTTCAGGTTTCCTCAAGATAGCATAGTTACTTGCTCAAGAGACGGCACTGCTATTATCTGGTCTCCTCGTCCTAGGAAACAGGTGTGCATGGCCTTTCTTTCTGTGTAACTAATGCCATGACTTCTCCTCATTCCTCCAGCTGAAGCTAGGTCGGTGGGTGAAAGCTTATCATTTGAAAGTACCGCCCCCTCCGATGCCACAGCCTCCCGTTCGAACTGGTGGACCTCGACAAAAACTGCTTCCGACTCCTCGAGGTGTTAATATGATAGTCTGGAGTTTGGACAATCGTTTTGTACTCGCCGCAATTATGGGTAAGATACCTCACGAACTAATTTTATGGAATAACATGGATGTGCAGATTGCCGGATATGTGTCTGGAATGCGGTTGATGGCAGTCTGGTGCACTGTTTAACCGGCCATACCAAGCAGGTATTGAAATGGAATTTATTGATTCCATTCTTTCTTAACATCTGTTATTTAGACTTACGTGCTAGATGTACATCCATGCAATCCTCGCATTGCAATGAGTGCGGGCTATGATGGCCGAGTTATTGTGTGGGATGTAAGTGTATTCGCTCAAAAAAAATGATCACGAATTTTGTTTTAGATCTGGGAGGGCCGTCCAGTAAGGACATTTGAGACGGGAGATTATAATCTTGTCGATGGCAACTTTTCACCGTAAGCTTGTTCTCATATCCATATACTGTTCTCATGTTTGCCAATTTTCAGGGATGGAACCTCATTGGTTGTTTCCGATGAGGTCGGCCAGGTCTACCTTTTTTCTACGGGAGCACCACCAAGTCAAGACGACGAAGATGCGAAATACGACCAGGTATCAGGAAGATTAGCTTCAGATCCTTCTCTTAACAGCTTTTTGTTTGTTTGTTTGTTTGTTTGTTTGTTTGTTTGTTTTTCGGGTTTTGTTTAGTTTTTTCTTGGAGATTATCGGCCTCTTGTTCGAGATACTCATGGAAACGTTCTCGATCAGGTAAATAAAATGATGTAAGTGCTTTTATTTAGTTTTAGTCCTGAGTGTTGTTCTTTTCCGGTATTGTTCTTGCAAAAACTGAGTATCTTTCTTTTACAGGAAACTCAGTTGCCTCCTCATCAAAGGAATCTTCAAGATCTCTTGTGCGATGCAAGTAAGCTGGTGACTTCGCACCTCGTCCAACTTATTTTTCTGTTTCATTTTCAGGCTTGATTCCCTATCCAGAACCTTATCAAAGCTCGTACCAGCAACGTCGTCTGGGACTCCTAGGTTGCTACTGGCAACCACCATCAGTTCAGCTCGCAGTGGGAACGTTTGATGATCCAGTGTTCATTCCTCAAGATCAGCCTCAAGCAGTAGTTGCCGCTCTACAAGCAATCGAGCAAACAAACGAGCAAGGCAACAGATGGGTAGAACAACCGGCGGATGGTGAGGCAATGGACTGGGATGAAGAAGTCACTGGATTGAGTGACGATTCTGGTTCTGATTACTGCGCGAGCGAAGAAAGCTCGAGTGACGAGGATGGAAATGAAGAAAGTGGTACGATCTGTGAATCGGAAACAACCGACAAAGAAATTGACGAAATTGATTCTGATGGGGTTCGTAACCGAAGAAGAAGGAAAAAGAAGAGAGAGGTACGTACGTCCAGCTTTTGCGTCTCTGATAACTTCAATGGTGATTGTCCACTACAGATACTCGCAACCTTGGTGAGGAAGCAAAAGCGCAGGCGCTTGGAGGAGTCAAACAATGCTCTTGTGATGCCTGAGGAAACGCAGAGGTTGAGGTCTAGAAAGCGGATAAGAAAGTCAAACCCGGACCATGCATTGAGGCCTATGAGGATGGCAGCTCGGAATGCCTTGACCATGTTTTCGAGCTTACATGAGTACGAAGACGACGAAGCACGCCGCCTGGCCGCTGAGGATGCCAAAAGACCTGGTACATCTGGAGAGAACGAGAACCAGAGGCTTCTACGCAACGGGAAAGTTCTTACAGAAACTCAGGAACCTGAAGACGATGAACCTCCGAAGAAGAGTCCCGCAGAGACTTCGGACGTGGGTGAATGCAGGCGGCCAAGGTCTCAGCGAAAGTTAGTACTCAAGTTGAGAAACTGTGCACAAACGTCCAACAACGAGGATACTTTTCGGAGCCTCGAAATACCAGAACAAGGCACTTCTAAGGTCCCCGTGGCCGAGGCTAATGACAGTCATCCAGAAACAGATGGTTTTATCGCGGACGAGAATCCCACTGAAGCTGTTTCGTCTGACGACAAACAGGGATACATATGGAAGAAGGGGAAAGCAGCCAAGCGTGCTCGCATGCCTTATCACAGCAGCAGCAGCAGCTCCGAAGAGGATAAACTGGTAGACGTTCCTTGCGATATCAAGAAAGGCTTTGAAGCGACTCGTGTAGAAAATGGAGACACAAAGGTGGTGGCAAGGGCGATCATTAGCGAGTCCGAGTCGGAGAGGTCTCTTTCAGCTGACTACCTTGACGAACAGCAGAGACGAGAGCAGAATCACACTCTTATGAGCAATGAGTCCTTACAGAATGGAGAAGCTCCAGATGGTGACAATGACCCTGATTACCACGAAGAGGTTTCACCAGGCAGTAACAGTGAGTCGCTGGAGGATGCTTACAAGCCCGAGGAAGAGCAGGCAAGTGAGGACCTGGACGTGGACGATATACAAATGAAGCGCAATATGAACAAGGCCGTCTACTCAAGGAGAAGGCCTCGCAAAGTTGCGACTCGGACCGAGTGTTATGAGGCCGACGAGCACGCTTCAGGTGGCCGCAGGAGAAGTACACGGCTGGCGCAGGGTCGCGTGGTTAGTCTCTCCAACAGCAGGTCCACAAGAAGCAGGAGAAACGTCGGCCGTCCCTCACACTGGGAAGCTAGCTCGTCTTACGACGACTCGGACTGGGATCGAAGCAGCGACGACAATGGACGCCGAAAGCCCGAAAGAAGAACTTCGAGCAGACTTAAAGTGAAGCTGCAGAAGAACGTGGGGTCGAGGTACAAGGATTTCCACGTGAGGAGAAACTTGAGCACGGTGCATCGGAGTCCGAGCAACGTGTCCTGGTTACTCTTGACAGAGGTGGAGCGGACGCGCTACATCCCACAGTATGGTGATGAGGTGGTGTACTTCCGACAGGTAAGAGATCCAGTCTTGAATTATGTTTGAATTGAAACTGTCGATCGCAGGGACATCAAGACTACTTAGACAACAAGCGGCTCGACGACGATGGTCCCTGGAGAAGCGTGAAAAGGGAACTGCAAGCGGTCGAGTTCTGCGAGATCACCGGACTGGAGTACATCATTCTCGAAGTGTCGGGGAACACTTGTTGCCGGCTGACTCTCGAGTTCATGGACGGGTACAGGATTCGCGGCAGCAGCTTCAGCGTCGACTTGCCGGAGCTGACAGACTTCGCCGACTTTATAGTGGAGAAAAGCCGCTACGAGGCCTCCATGGCTAGGAAGTGGTCCAGTCGGGACAAGTGCCAAGTGTGGTGGAGGTCGGACGAGGAAGAAGGTGGTCGCTGGTGGGAAGGGACGATAACTCAGGTGAAGGCAAAGTCGCCCGAGTTTCCAAACAGCCCCTGGGACAGCATCAGTGTGCTGTACAAGGACGAGCCATCGACGACGAACCACTGCCCCTGGGAGCTTCACGACGTTGAGAATCCTTTAACTTGGGAGTCGCCACAGATCGAGCAGGACAAGGTGCGTGAGCTGCTCGACATCGTGGACGAGGTGCTCCACTCGAACCAATCCAAGGTTTGTTTTTGCGCGATCGATCATAGACGTGAGGAAGGTTTTGCTTTTGCTTTTGGCTTGACGAGCTTTTGCTTTTCGCAGGACGAGTATGGCTTGTGGAGGTTGCAGCAGGCCGTGAGCAAGCCGGATTTTCTTGACAGGCAAGTTGGAAAAATCTCTTGCGATTGAGAAAGAAGCTAAAGGTTTTCAATCAATGCAGGATTGCGCTACCAATCTCCATGGACGTGATTCGCGAGCGGCTGGAGAACAACTATTATCGTAGCGTGATGGCGGTGTCACACGATCTTAGGATACTGATCGACAACTTCCGGACATATTTTGGGAAACAGCATTCGTCGGTGCTCAAGGTGGAGCGGCTGAGAGAACGCTTCTCTGAGGCACTGCAAATGTGAGCTTTGTAAAAATTTCCTCGAGGTCTTAGTTAACGAAGAATAGAAACATTTTCCTTACACATCCATCTACATTGTCAAACACGAGATTATTCCGAGGATCACTCTCATACCTGGAAAACCATGAGGAAGAAGGAAGTCGAGGAGATGGGGCGCCATTCTTCTCCTCTTCCTCCTCCTCTTGTCATCGAGGCCGCGTGGAAATCGCGAGAATCCACTGACAAGGAACTCGAGTTCCCGCCAGACCACTGTACGAACGGCGGCCCACCAAGAAAGTGGCCAGTGGCCCATTGTACGTAACATTGCCTTTATTCCAAAAAAGGGATCGCTAGCATAGGGTTCTTGCGAAGATAGGGCGGGTGGCTCGAAATTCTGGTAAGCGTCATTCCGTCTTGCAAAGCTGCTGCAAACCCCGATTTCTCGCAGCTGCAAAGCCTTGTTGCGGACCTGGCGATGGAATTTCTGATTGCGATGGTGCTTGTTAGCACCATTGCGATCAGTGTGCTGTGCATCGTGACCACAGCTTGTGTGCTGGTGCTGGCATCTGCCATGCGTGCAGGAATGGGAGCCGTGACTGAGAATCTCCAGGTGATGGCCTCTGGCATTCATGCGGCAGTGAGGGCGGACGTGCAAGGGATCCATGGTGCAGTGAGGGAGGATGTGCCAGCAATCCGTGGAGCCATAAAGGAAGACGTTGTTGCTGTGGTTGGAGCAGGAATGGGATCCATCCGTGCAGCAGTGAGGGAGGTCCATGGTGCCTTGAAGGAGGACTTTGTTGCTGTGGTTGGAGCACTGAATGTTGCGGCTATGCGTGCTGCAATCAAGGAGGACCTCCAGGCACTTCACGACACAGTGAAGGAGGATGTTATAGCAGCCCACAACCAAGTCATGATCGACTGTTCCACATCCCTCTATCAGGTAAGCATTTGTTAGATCTAGATTTTGTGCGGCCTTTAAAATACTGGATCAGGGTTTGGATGGCTTGATCCAGTCGTGTGCAAAGAGCACAGTGGTGGGTAAGTGGCGCTGCTGCTGGTTCAATGATCAGTAGTTGATTCATAGAAACGACAAAGCTGTTCTTTTTTTTTCTCAGGAAAAATTTTTCTGATTCGGATCTTCGTTCTTCGAAATAAAAAGGCTCATATGTCGTGAGCTTCTGATAGTAAGTCTTTTTCCGGGCAAGAACATACACATGAACGTGGTCTGGCATTGTCTAATTGGTACTTCCTTGTAGGTGGATGAGTGTAACTATTTATTCAGGAGACTATTTATTCAGGAGGTCCTTTGGAGCTGCGGATATCGCATATAGTCACTCGGTTCAAATGCTTTGTATGGTAACGGAACATTCAATCGAAGCTTTCAAGTTTTCTGTCTTCAAGTAGACTCGGGTGCAATCTTCATGCAGCTTAGCTAACCTCTCGTGCAGACTGACTAACATTCGTGGCTTTACGGTCTGATGTTGGAGTTGATCATCACCTGCATGAACAAGACGAGGAGATCGAGTTGGGGAAGTTATCATGCACTTCCTGAGGAGAGGCCCTTACGAGAGAGCCACTGACTAGCTCTGGAACGAGCTCCTACAGCACAAGCTCTTGCCCCGGAGGTACCATCAGGAATGGAACGCCCCCCGCCGACGAGAATGACGATGGTTTGTCGTTCCCACTCAGCTACGCGCAAGTTGCCGAGAGGTATTGTGTGTCGCCAAGTTCTTTGTTTTCGGTTTGTCTTGCTGACAAAAGGATGGATTTTTTTTTTTCGATTTTCAGATATAAGAACGTTGACAACAACCACTTGGTTAAGCTCTTGCAGCAACTACTTGTTCACGACAAGTCCGCGTCCTTGCTTTATGCGAAAGTTCCCAAGCAATTGACCGCCGCGGACGTTCCTACGCTTTTGGGGTCAGGAGCATTCTCGCTTTTGGAATGTAAGCCGTGTGCTTTTCGAATCTTGCCGTTGCTGATCCGAGCAAACTTCATACAGCGGAGCAAAGCAATGCTACTAGTATCTCTACCAAGAGAATAGAACAAATGCGATGGCCGCATTGGCAAGCTGACCAAGTTCATGCTCTCGCGTTCCGTGAACTTGGTGGTGGATTTGCAAAGCATCACAGACCGCCATCCACACGGACTGTGAAACATGTTATCATCAAGCCTTCTGTACTGGTGAACAGAATAAGAATCATCCAGGTGCTAAGGGGTCATCGTAATGCGGTATATTGTGGTACGTGTTTCTTTTCTTTTTGATTTTCAAGACCTATTAACGAAGCGATAAACGTGCAGCCGTTTTTGATCGTACTGGACGGTATCTTGTCACTGGCTCGGACGACCGGCTTGTGAAGATATGGTCCGTAGAAAATAGACTTTGCCTTCGTAGCTGTAGAGGACACGAGGTACTATTTTCTGCATCCGTTTCGAATATTGTGCTTAAAACCTGGCTTTTAGGGGGATATAACCGATTTGTCTGTAAGTAGTTCGAACACTCTAGTTGCATCAGCTTCTAACGATTCCTCCATCCGTGTTGTAAGTATTCCTTTGTTGTGTTTTTGTTTCTTCTTTTGATTTATTTCGCTTCTGCCTATAGTGGGGATTACCAGATGGTGTTCCGGTTGCAATACTTCGTGGCCACACGGCGGGCGTAACGGCCATCAAATTTAGTCCTCGACCGGGCTGTGAGCACCATCTTCTATCGTAAGTGTTAATAATTTGGTTTTTCCACTATACTTGTATTAAAATCTCGTGGTTTCAAGTTCGTCTGAAGACGGAACATGCCGTATTTGGGATGCTCGGGATTCTTCTGTCAATTCACGTGTCTACATGCCGAAGCCGGATGTCGAACCCGAATGTAAAGAGTCTGCCGGTGTTTTTTTGGTCTTCTAAAAGCTTGTTTCCAGCTGCAGGAGCTGAGAATCGAGCACAGGCTACAAATCAGATTCAGTGCTGTGCGTTTAATGCAGATGGCTCATACTTTGTCACTGGGAGTTCGGACAAGCTTGCCAGGGTAAGCATTTAAAGTGGACTTTTTATATTTCTGACAATTGTTGGAACAGGTTTGGGACGCAAGAAAGTGGGCGGACGAGTACACTGGAAGGCCAAATCATGAGCATGACATTCTTAGTGGACACGAGAATGTAGTTAACTACGTGCAGTTCAGGTTCGCCTCTTTGGCTTGGTCCTCGTTGACATCAATCGTCCTTTGTTCCAGTGGTTGTGCAGAGCCAATCAAAGTTTCTCCCGTCGACTTTTTGAAGGATGACAACGTCCCTGACAACATACCGAAGTTCAAAACAACCTGGTATACTGTGCCGCTCATTGCTATCTGGTTTTAACGTTGGTTTTGTTCAGGTTTCCTCAAGATAGCATAGTTACTTGCTCAAGAGACGGCACTGCTATTATCTGGTCTCCTCGTCCTAGGAAACAGGTGTGCATGGCCTTTCTTTCTGTGTAACTAATGCCATGACTGCTCCTCTTTCCTCCAGCTGAAGCTAGGTCGATGGGTGAAAGCTTATCATTTGAAAGTACCGCCCCCTCCGATGCCACAGCCTCCCCTTCGAACTGGTGGACCTCGACAAAAACTGCTTCCGACTCCTCGAGGTGTTAATATGATAGTCTGGAGTTTGGACAATCGTTTTGTACTCGCCGCGATTATGGGTAAGATACCTCACGAACTAATTTTATGGAATAACATGGATGTGCAGATTGCCGGATATGTGTTTGGAATGCGGTTGATGGCAGTCTGGTGCACTGTTTAACCGGCCATACCAAGCAGGTATTGAAATGGAATGTATTGATTTCATTCTTTCTTAACAACTGTTATTTAGACTTACGTGCTAGATGTACATCCATGCAATCCTCGCATTGCAATGAGTGCGGGCTACGATGGCCGAGTTATTGTGTGGGATGTAAGTGTATTCGCTCAAAAAAAATGATCACGAATTTTGTTTTAGATCTGGGAGGGCCGTCCAGTAAGGACATTTGAGACGGGAGATTATAATCTTGTCGATGGCAACTTTTCACCGTAAGCTTGTTCTCATATCCATATACTGTTCTCATGTTTGCCAATTTTCAGGGATGGAACCTCATTGGTTGTTTCCGATGAGGTCGGCCAGGTCTACCTTTTTTCTACGGGAGCACCAAGTCAAGACGACGAAGATGCGAAATACGACCAGGTATCAGGAAGATTAGCTTCAGATCCTTCTCCTAACAGCTTTTTGTTTGTTTGTTTGTTTGTTTGTTTTTCGGGTTCTGTGTAGTTTTTTCTTGGAGATTATCGGCCTCTTGTTCGAGATACTCATGGAAACGTTCTCGATCAGGTAAATAAAAATGATGTAAGTGCTTTTATTTAGTTTTAGTCCTGAGTGTTGTTCTTTTCCGGTATTGTTCTTGCAAAAACTGAGTATCTTTCTTTTACAGGAAACTCAGTTGCCTCCTCATCAAAGGAATCTTCAAGATCTCTTGTGCGATGCAAGTAAGCTGGTGACTTCTCACCTCGTCCAACTTATTTTTCTGTTTCATTTTCAGGCTTGATTCCCTATCCAGAACCTTATCAAAGTTCGTACCAGCAACGTCGTCTGGGACTCCTAGGTTGCTACTGGCAACCACCGTCAGTTCAGCTCGCAGTGGGAACGTTTGATGATCCAGCGTTCATTCCTCAAGATCAGCCTCAAGCAGTAGTTGCCGCTCTACAAGCAATCGAGCAAACAAACGAGCAAGGCAACAGATGGGTAGAAAAACCGGCGGATGGTGAGGCAATGGACTGGGATGAAGAAGTCACTGGATTGAGTGACGATTCTGGTTCTGATTACTGCGCGAGCGAAGAAAGCTCGAGTGACGAGGATGGAAATGAAGAAAGTGGTACGATCTGTGAATCGGAAACAACCGACAAAGAAATTGACGAAATCGATTCTGATGGGGTTCGTAACCGAAGAACAAGGAAAAAGAAGAGAGAGGTACGTACGTCCAGCTTTTGCGTCTCTGATAACTTCAATGGTGATTGTCCACTACAGATACTCGCAACCTTGGTGAGGAAGCAAAAGCGCAGGCGCTTGGAGGAGTCAAACAATGCTCTTTTGATACCTGAGGAAACGCAGAGGTTGAGGTCTAGAAAGCGGATAAGAAAGTCAAACCCGGACCATGCATTGAGGCCTATGAGGATGGCAGCTCGGAATGCCTTGACCATGTTTTCGAGCTTACATGAGTACGAAGACGACGAAGCACGCCGCCTGGCCGTTGAGGATGCCAAAAGACCTGGTACATCTGGAGAGAACGAGAACCAGAGGCTTCTACGCAACGGGAAAGTTCTTACAGAAACTCAGGAACGTGAAGACGATGAACCTCCGAAGAAGAGTCCCGCAGAGACTTTGGACGTGGGTGAATGCAGGCGGCCAAGGTCTCAGCGAAAGTTAGTACTCAAGTTGAGAAACTGTGCACAAACGTCCAACAACGAGGATACTTTTCGGAGCCTCGAAATACCAGAACAAGGCACTTCTAAGGTCCCCGTGGCCGAGGCTAATGACAGTCATCCAGAAACAGATGGTTTTATCGCGGACGAGAATCCCACTGAAGCTGTTTCGTCTGACGACAAACAGGGATACATATGGAAGAAGGGGAAAGCAGCCAAGCGTGCTCGCATGCCTTATCACAGCAGCAGCAGCTCCGAAGAGGATAAACTGGTAGACGTTCCTTGTGATACCAAGAAAGGCCTTGAAGCGACTCGTGTAGAAAATGGAGACACAAAGGTGGTGGCAAGGGCGATCATTAGCGAGTCCGAGTCGGAGAGGTCTCTTTCAGCTGACTACCTTGACGAACAGCAGAGACGAGAGCAGAATCACACTCTTATGAGCAATGAGTCCTTACAGAATGGAGAAGCTCCAGATGGTGACAATGACCCTGATTACCACGATGAGGTTTCACCAGGCAGTAACAGTGAGTCGCTGGAGGATGCTTACAAGCCCGAGGAAGAGCAGGCAAGTGAGGACCTGGACGTGGACGATATACAAATGAAGCGCAATATGAACAAGGCCGTCTACTCAAGGAGAAGGCCTCGCAAAGTTGCGACTAAGACCGAGTGTTATGAGGCCGACGAGCACGCTTCAGGTGGCCGCAGGAGAAGTACACGGCTGGCGCAGGGTCGCGTGGTTAGTCTCTCCAACAGCAGGTCCACAAGAAGCAGGAGAAACGTCGGCCGTCCCTCACACTGGGAAGCTAGCTCGTCTTACGACGACTCGGACTGGGATAGAAGCAGCGACGACGATGGACGCCGAAAGCCCGAAAGAAGAACTTCGAGCAGACTTAAAGTGAAGCTGCAGAAGAACGTTGGGTCGAGGTACAAGGATTTCCACGTGAGGAGAAACCTGAGCACGGTGCATCGGAGTCCGAGCAACGTGTCCTGGTTACTCTTGACAGAGGTGGAGCGGACGCGCTACATCCCACAGTATGGTGATGAGGTGGTGTACTTCCGACAGGTAAGAGATCCAACGAGCTTGTCTTGAATTATGTTTGAATTGAAACTGTCGATCGCAGGGACATCAAGACTACTTAGACAACAAGCGGCTCGACGACGATGGTCCCTGGAGAAGCGTGAAAAGGGAACTGCAAGCGGTCGAGTTCTGCGAGATCACCGGAGTACATCATTCTCGAGGTGTCGGGGAACACTTGTTGCCGGCTGACTCTCGAGTTCATAGACGGGTACAGGATTCGCGGCAGCAGCTTCAGCATCGACTTGCCGGAGCTGACAGACTTCGCCGACTTTATAGTGGAGAGAAGCCGCTACGAGGCCTCCATGGCCAGGAAGTGGTCCAGTCGGGACAAGTGCCATGGTGGAGGTCGGACGAGGAAGAAGGTGGTCGCTGGTGGGAAGGGACGATAACTCAGGTGAAGGCAAAGTCGCCCGAGTTTCCAAACAGCCCCTGGGACAGCATCAGTGTGCTGTACAAGGACGAGCCATCGACGACGAACCACTGCCCCTGGGAGCTTCACGACGTTGAGAATCCTTTAACTTGGGAGTCGCCACAGATCGAGCAGGACAAGGTGCGTGAGCTGCTCGACATCGTGGACGAGGTGCTCCACTCGAACCAATCCAAGGTTTGTTTTTGATCATAGACTCGAGGAATGTTTCGGTTTTGGTCTTGGCGTGACGAGCTTTTGCTTTTCACAGGACGAGTATGGCTTGTGGAGGTTGCAGCAGGCCGTGAGCAACCTTGATTTTCTTGACAGGCAAGTTGGAAAAATCTCTTGCGATTGAGAAAGAAGCTAACGGTTTTCAATCAATGCAGGATTGCGCTACCAATCTCCATGGACGTGATTCGCGAGCGGCTGGAGAACAACTATTATCGTAGCGTGATGGCGGTGTCACACGATCTTAGGATACTGATCGACAACTTCCGGACATATTTTGGGAAACAGCATTCGTCGGTGCTCAAGGTGGAGCGGCTGAGAGAACGCTTCTCTGAGGCACTGCAAATGTGAGCTTTGTAAAAATTTCCTCGAGGTCTTAGTTAACGAAGAATAGAAGCATTTTCCTTACACATCCATCTACATTGTCAAACACGAGATTATTCAGGATCACTCATACCTGGAAAACCATGAGGAAGAAGGAAGTCGAGGAGATGGGGCGCCATTCTTCTCCTCTTCCTCCTCCTCTTGTCATCGAGGCTGCGTACTGATGGAAATCGCGAGAATCCACTGACAAGGAACTCGAGTTCCCGCCAGACCACTGTACGAACGGCGGCCCACCAAGAAAGTGGCCACGGCCCATTGTACGTAACATCGCCTTTATTTCAAAAGGGACCGCGAAGATAGGGCGAAATTCTGGTAAGCGTCTTGCATAGCTGCTGCAAACCCTGATCTCACTGCTGCAAAGCCTGATTTCGTTGTTAGTTTCTGATTGCCATGGTGCATAGTGACCACAGCTTGTGTGCTGGTGCTGGCATCTGCCATGCGTGCAGGAATGGGATCCATTCGTGCGGCAGTAAGGGAGGATTTACAAGGGATATATGGTGCATTAAAGGAGGACGTGGTTGCCAGAGCAGTGAATGTTGCGGTTATGCGTGCTGCAATCAAGGAGGACCTCCAGGCACGTCACGACACAGTGAAGGAGGATGTTATAGCAGCCCACAACCAAAGTCATGGTCGACTGTTCCACATCCCTCTATCAGGTAAGCATTTGTCAGATCTAGATTTTGTGCGGCTTTTAAAATACTGGATCAGGGTTTGGATGGCTTGATCAGGTCGTGTCCAAAGCGCAAAGTGGCGCTGCTGCTGGTTCAGTGATTCATAGAAACGACGAACTGTTCTCTTTTTTATCAGGAATTTTTTTTCTGATTCGGATCTTCGGAAATAAAAAGGCTTATATGTCGTGACCTTCTGATAGTAAGTCTTTTTCCGGGCAAGAACATAGACATGAACGTGGCCTGGCAGTGTCTAATTGGTACTTTCTTGTAGGTGGATGAGACCCTTTGGAGCTGCCGATAGTCACTGGGTTCATTTGCTTTGTATGGTAGAGGAACATGTGATATTTGTGCGCTTTTCGAGGATTCTCTGTAACAGTTTATTTCCGAATGGAGTTGGCTTGGTGGCTGGCTGTTCCTGTCGCGGCTGTTACCTCTGATAATGTTACCTCTGATGCGTGATCGAGGAGCTTGTTTTTTTCCTTGATGGAATATCACGACGGCTTGTTGACTGATCTTCCGGACGATGTGTTCGGGTTGATCGTTTAGCTTACAAAAACTTGTTGCCAGCAAGGAATCTGGATCTTCCAACATGTTTTGAGTTGACGTCCCATCTCACAGTTCATCTGTTTGATAATAAACTAAAGAAAATTAAAATAGTCAACTAGTCTCTCTGGTACCAAATTGGTACCACGTAACAGGTGACTTTAGGTTTAACACATTTTAGGGTTTGGCGGCTATGGCGGCTGAAGCGGTGAGGGAGCTGAAGAAGTCGCTCAACGACGACAAGGGTTTCTTTGATAGGCACGAAGAGATGACTAATCTGCTCACACATATTGAGGAAGGCTTCAACCGCATCGCTGTAGTGATAGGCCCCAACAATTCAAGCAAGTCCGCTCTACTCAAGCAACTCAGGAAGATGTGGGATGCCAGCCCTCTGCTGAAAGCCCAGTTGCCGCTCTTCTACATGGACATGAGGGCTGCGGACTTCAGTTCCCCGGAGCTGGCTGCTGCACAGATTGCAAGACAGATGCGAGCTTGGGCTTCTTGGCTCAAAGATGTGGCAGCGGCCCTTCTGAAGACGATCGGAGGTGTCAGTGTCAATCTGAAGAAGCTGACGTTCAAGGGCGTAAACCTTGATGCATCGAGCTTTCTAGAGCTGTTAAAAGCGGAGCCAGTGAAGGACTTGGGCTCTGTCATGAGTTGGTTTATGAGCCTGGCAGCTGAAAACCAGCATAGGAGGCCAATTTTTGTCATCGATGAAGCTGACAGGCTGAAGTAGTGGTCCGACCAGGATGTAGGCACCCTCCTGGGATGTTTCACAGCCATGACCAAGTAGGACCGGACTGGGGTTGTGATTATGTCCACTTGCGACGACTTTTTTCGGCATTGGTTCCAGAGTCACACAAACGTTGAGCAGTGGAAGCCAGTTGGTGTGGGGCACCTTGGTGAAAAGAACGCCAAGGCATTCCTGTCAAGCCTCATCGCCAAGCGCATAGCAGCAAGTGCCACAGCTCCCGACTCGTGGTCGGAGCAGAGGGTGTATGAGATCTGTGGCGGCTGCTCTTTAACATTTCTGAACTGTGTGATCGATGTGTTCCTGCACGGAAGGAGCATGGATGTGGTTCTCGAAGCCAAGGTGGTGGCACAGCTGCCCAAGATTCTCCTAGGATTGGAGGATGGTCACGGCTGGGAAGAGGCTAAGTTCAGGGAGGTGATGAAGCTCATTGTGGCACATGGTGCAGTTGGGCTGTCGAAGATTTGCCGCCGTATCTTCAAGTCGGACATCCCGGAGTTCCGGCGGCAGATCAGAGTGATGCTCTCCTTCAATGTGATACATGTTCGTTACGTGCTGACGGGACTGGTTTATGATGATCTTCGAGACTTTGACACTGACACGGGGCCTGCCATTTACTGTGATTTCGTCATGGCAAGGTCGCCTACCCACCATGTGGCTATGAAAATGTTTTGTGATGGTGCGTTTGACGAACCGGACGAATAGAAACTGATCATTATCCTTAATATTAATTAATATAGAAATGTGAATATCATATTAGTCCCTCATCAAAGCAAGACCTCCCAACCAAGAGTTCCTTTGCATTTGGTACTTCTTCACCCACCGAGGTCGCTCTTATGAAGATAGATAACAATTAAGTGATATATCAACGAAGCAAAAGAGGACTTCATCCACCTCTATGCTAAGTCCCATTACTCTTTCAATGGCAACAAGTTTCATTTTGTCATAATTAAACTCTTATTACACAAGTTCCAATAAACCAGACAGAATGCCCTAAACCAGATACCAGGCAAAATAGACTCAGCTTAATTCGCATTGCAAGGTTTCCTTTGTTCCTTTGGCACTAAGTGCTTCGTAGCGTCAGCACTCTCCACTCTCAATAGGGAACTAAAACAACTGGTACACCCGCCACATTCGCCCACATTGCCCAAAGACATACCATCTTGTTTCACTCGACCCTCTCCAAGTGAAATTACACTCTTTGATGAAAACCACCTAATATAGTTTCAGCTGCCTTGAGTGACTTGCATATTCACTAGCGTTTGCTTAGTTATTACCCCCACAAGCCACTAATCCTAGTTATTCAAAAAACTCGGACAACCAGATATCTGCATCTCTCACAGAGACAAGTTCTATCCAAACATGAGGTGGTTTCACTCCACCAAGCCTTTCAGTTATGCTTGCATTTCAATGCTTCCACAATCTAATAACTTTAGTCCCATATCTGAGCATTGTGGAGCTCATACACTAAAGGTTATCTGGTTCACCCAGAGCCTTTACGAGCCTACCAATAACCAAGAATTTCCAAAACCACATTACAAGTTTTCAAGCTCTTCAAACTCTCTCTATCGGTAAACTAGTTCTCCAGAGTTTCAGTTAGGTTCTCTAGTTAGCCAGGAAGAAAAACTCTTCCTACGGATTAGCATTCATTTAGCTTACAACAACTTGTAGCCAGCAAGGAATCTGGATCTTCCAACATGTTTTGAGTTGACGTCCCATCTCGCAGTTCATCTGTTTGAAAATAAACTAAGGAAAATTAAAACAGTCAACTAGTCTCTCTGGTACCAAATTGGTACCACGTAACGGGCGACTTTAGGTTTAACACATTTTAGGGTTTGGCGGCTATGGCGGCTGAAGCGGTGAGGGAGCTGAAGAAGTCGCTCAACGACGACGAGGGTTTCTTTGATAGGCACGAAGAGATGACTAATCTGCTCACACATATTGAGGAAGGCTTCAACCGCATCGCTGTAGTGATAGGCCCCAACAATTCAAGCAAGTCCGCTCTACTCAAGCAGCTCAGGAAGATGTGGGATGCCAGCCCTCTGCTGAAAGCCCAGTTGCCGCTCTTCTACATGGACATGAGGGCTGCGGACTTCAGTTCCCCAGAGCTGGCTGCTGCATAGATTGCAAGACAGATGCGAACTTGGGCTTCTTGGCTCAAAGATGTGGCAGCGGCCCTTCTGAAGACGATCGGAGGTGTCAGTGTCGATCTGAAGAAGCTGACGTTCAAGGGCGTAAACCTTGATTCATTGAGCTTTCTAGAGTTGTTAAAAGCGGAGCCAGTGAAGGAGTTGGGCTCTATCATGAGTTGGTTTATGAGCCTGGCGGCTGAAAACCAGCATAGGAGGCCAATTTTTGTCATCGATGAAGCTGATAGGCTAAAGTGGTGGTCCGACCAGGATGTAGGTACCCTTTTAGGATGTTTCACAGCCATGACTAAGCAGGACCAGACTGGGGTGGTGATTATGTCCACCTCCGACGACTTTTTTTGGCAGTGGTGCCAGAGTCACATAGATGTTGAGCAGTGGAAGCCAGTTGGTGTGGGGCACTTTGGTAAAAAGAACGCCAAGGCATTCCTATCAAGCCTCGTCTCCAAGCGCATAGCAGCAGGTGCCACCGCTCCCGACTCGTGGTCGGAATAGAGGGTGTATGAGATCTTCTCAAAGCCACGATGGTGGCTCAGCTGCCCAAGATTCTCCTGGGACTGGAGGATGGTCACGGCTGGGAAGAAGGTGATGAAGCTCATTGTGGTGCATGGTGCAATTGGGCTGTCGAAGATTTGCCGCCATATCTTCAAGTCGGACATCCCGGAGTGCCAACTGCAGATCAAAGCGATGCTCTCCTTCAATGTGATACATGTTCGTTACATGCCGATGGGACTGGTTTATGATGATCTTCGAGACTTTGACACTAACACGGGGCCTGCCATGAACTGTGATTTCGTCATGGCAAGGTCGCCTACCCACCATGTGGCTATTAAAATGTTCTGTGATGGTGCGTTTGACAAACCGGAGGAATAGGAACTGACCATTATCCTTAATATTAATTAATATAGAAATGTCAAAGACAAACTTTTGCAACATATGATAAGCTTCGTTTCCATCCTGCAAGGATCCCCATGAATGTACATCCACAGCAGCAGCGCATGCCTTTCTGTCACAGCCTTGAGTTCCTTCTTAAAAGAATGCTTCGACTTGAAGAAGACGGGGCCCTATGCTAAGGGGGGCATTTTGATCCGGACTTGCGTGACCAGCGCTTCCAGCAGTCGTCTTCTGTCACCAAAGCTGAGCCTACCGAAACAAGCACCAGACCTGCTTTCTGATCTTCTCGAGCTGCACTCGTCGCCATCGCTGTTCTCCGCCATCAAACCCACGAGTGTGCTGTCTGGACTGATTGGCAAACGCTGCTTCTGCTCGGTGATGAACGATTCCGCTTCCAGTAAGAGAACGTTGCAGTTGTTGCTCCTGGCGGCTCCAAATCTCCCAGGATAGCAGTAGTCGTCCCTGTCCCTTCCGTGGAGGAAAAACGCTAGAGATTCGTCAGGAAGGCCGAAGATCTCAAACACCGGAGCCCAGAGCAACCCGCAATCCATTCCTCGAGGGGTGGTATGATTCGGCAGCCCCCCACCGAAAGAAATCCCCAAGTGACATAGACTAAGTTCCCCAGCTCCGGATTCTAATGCACCCAAATACCCACCAGATTCCTGACCCCGTTGATGAATCTGAACAGCGCCTCCTGCGACTGCAGCCCATTCCTCCAAGTGCTCAAGTCGATGTATTCCTCCGCTTCTTCTTCTCTAACCAGCCTTTGGCACTGCGGGAACCAGAGCTTATCAGAGCTGCAGACATCTCGAAGCTTGCAAGAAGTGGCGCTGAGGTTGCAGAGATCTCTGTGACAGACGCGGC